GATCGCCGGGCTCGCTCGTCGTTGGGAGGCGAGAGGAGGGCTGAATTGGGGCAACGAGCGCGGCATTGGCGATGATGCCATGAAAGAGCCAGAGAAAGGGGAGGATCCGGGTGATCATGGCGGAAAGGAATGGAAGATCTCCTAAGAGCAGCAGCAATGAATGTAGAAGGCATGATGTGGTGCTTAAAAGCAATGGCAGTGTCTCCCATTCCATTCCTTGGTGTTCAAGCCTGTCTCCCATGACTTTGGAGTAAACTTCACGGATTTGATTTGAAACTTCGCGCCAACTTTTCTAGGGCTTCACAGCAGGAATATTTCTAACGAGGCTTTGTTGGGTTTTCCAAGGAAACAGATACACGACGAAAGTTTCCCTTTTGCGATTCGGCCTTTCGTCTTTTAGGTGATCCGCCACGGTAGGGGAAGAGTCTCACGGAGGAGGTTCTCTGGAGATCACTCCAACATGGGCATTTGCGCTGCCACTTTTATTTTGGTCTCATTGCTGCTGAAGCGAGCGATTCACTACGCTGACAAGATGTATACATCCATAAGAGCTTTGATCGAGGATTGATCGAAATTGGAAGTGGGTACGCAAGCGTCCGGAGAAAGTTCTCGATAAAGTAAAAGAATTATTGATTCTCCCGAGACTGAGAGCATGCTTTTTGGGATTTCTTTCTCTCCTGCTAAATGTGCTGCATCCGTCCATAGCCAAAATCTGTGTGTCACGCAACTACATCAACCATTTGCTTCCCTGCAAGATCAATGCGAATGAGGTGCAATTGCTCGGAGAGAGCCCCAAGAGCAGCCCATTGCCGCCAATCAAGGAGGCTAGTGTTCCTCAATGTAGACAAAGATCATCCACGAAGAGTTCTGGCTGGCGGAAGAAACACAGTCTAGCAGTGCTTCCAAAAGGTATATTACATTCAAACAATCACCATTGTCTCATTGCTAGATCCCATTCATCCCGGCTGAAGGTGTTCATGAGCTCCACATTTTCATCTTTGTGCTTGCCATTGGCCATGTCGCCTACAGTTGCTTTACATTACTATTAGCCAGCCTCCAGGTCTTAAAAATGATCTAAGATTATATCAACAATATGGTTTGATATTTTACACAGGTTCATAAGAGGGCACAGGCTCTGCCTGGTAATCTTATCCATAATTAAAATAATATTATTTATTCGTGTGCAGGTGGAAAAACAGAGCACATTTTTGAGGAAGCATACCAACTCAATTTGGAACACGTCTCATACTCTCCGCTGGATCATAAGTTCAATACTTAAAAATACTTAGCCTGACCTTATGATGTTCTAGTCCTGTTTCTTTGGGCAATTTGGTAGTGTGACATTCACAGAATGCAATACTCTCTGTCAAAAATAAGAAAAACTTGTTTCACACAAACACCTTCTTTCTTGTTGGTAGAATCACAGGCTTGCAAATACATTTGACTTTCAGAAGTATGTACTTATGTTTTTGAGGACAATTTCAAAATGATTGTTAGCATAAGGTGAGTGTTGGTAATCACTTAATTATATGATAATATTATCATTATGACAGTTAAAGTGATAGCCATAGACAATCCAAACTGCGAGGAGCTCAACTATATGATGGTGCTCAAGCCATTGAAGTTTGGCCCGCCATGCTTCTTGAGTCATTGAAGTTTGGCCAATCAAATATCAAAAACAATGATTGCAAACACAAAACTAACACATAAACCATGTTACAAACCATTATTTCAAACTAGAAATACTCACAAAACTCCCATTTCGCGTCATCGCCAATGCAGCACTTGTCACCCCTAATCCAGCACTCGTCGCCCCAACCCAACCCTCCTCTTGCCTCCCAACAATAAGTGAGCCCAGAGACCAAAGCTTTCTCACCATTCTCGCCATCCATTGCAAGGGCGAAGTCCATGCCATTCATGATGGACACCGGTGCAACAATTCCCCACTGGTCTACTTGTCATCTTACCACAGTGACTCAGCAGGGCCTAGGGCACACGCCACCTGGATCTTGCCGACTCAGCCCAACACGCCCCTGCTTGCCCAGTCACATCATCTGCCGAGCATTGAATTGGCTGGGTGGTGAATTAGGATAGTGGATGCTACAGAGCTCTGCATGATCACCTTGGTGGTGAGGATCGAGCCTGATACTGATGATGTCTGGCAGGGAGGAGTTGGATCAGATTGGAGATGTGGCGACCAGGCCCACGAAACTCCATTGTGAGCTGTGTCAGCGCTTGCTCTACTGGATCGATTTAGCAGCTGTGATGGGGAGCCTGCTAACAATTAGGCTCGCATTTAGCAAGGGACTTGGTGACCACACAGAGCTTAGATTGTTTTGACTGGGGATTGTCAATGGGGGTGAGGATTCCACCCTGGCAATTGGAACGTTCCAACAGCAAGACCACATTTATAGCGGCCCTTGTGCTGACATGGCTCAAAAGTTCAATGTGGAAGGGGGACAGATTGTTAGCGAGGATCAGCTGGCGTGTTCTTGATGTATCAGGGGGATAGATTAAAGGGGAAGGGGATTTTGGAGTTAGTGTGAGGTTAGGAGATCGGGCTTTGTCTTTGGGATACACAGCATCTTCTCACTTGGTCTTACACCCAGAACCGTTATAGTGTCATTGGGTTAATAAATCACTAGTATATACATGTTTTTTCTAGGGTCACTAATGACCCTCTCTCCCTAAATTCCTTTGAATGCCACAGAAACATCATTAGAGGCTGGGCAATTGTGTTGTTACAAAGGAGGAATTAAGCACGCAGTAAGAGTATAGAGCAGCTGTAGAAGTAGGTGTCCATTTTCCACCTATGGTTGTTCACACCTACACACCACTACATGGTGGGAAGTGGTCGTAGATGTGGGAGGATTCACTATGGCTTGGTAGATATTGTACTTTACAGTGTTCATTGCCCTTTGAGCAACCCCATTTGGAATGCTCATGGTTTGCTTAATATCTCTAGAATATGCTTGGATATTCTAGGATATTTTACCATTTAACAGTTGCTATATCTTGTATTTATAATTTATAAACTTTTTAAAACCTTTTTTAGTATATTCTTTCTTATTCTTGATATGCAATAAGATTAATCTTTTGTTTATAAATTAGAAACATACTTATAGCTATAAACTTCATTTGATTAATTAGATTAATAAATAGGAATAACACTATTATTGCTACATGCAACATGTAGCAAATTTTTTTGAGATTAAACCATCATTCATAACGTTGATTGAGTTGTTAATTGACTAGCTTTGTCTAAAGCTAGTTGAACCTTGATGTATAAAACAACCCCCTTCCAAGTAAGAAGCTTGAAGGGCTAGAGCCCTATAAAACATCTCTTTGTATGTAGTTCAATTCTAATAAATTGATATTGAAATTCCTTAAACTTGTCCCTCTAAAGTATAAAGGGCAATTATAGAGATCTTGTATTAGGAGATCTCTTAACTTCTCTTACAAGCTCTCAATTCTTCTAAATGCCCTTAAATGCCTTAGCCTTATAGAGAGGAATATTTTAGGAACTAACATATTTTAAGTATGTTCCATATCGCAAAAGGTGACTATGATGGGATTGAGTAAACTCTATAGTGTAAAGAGAACTCATAACAAAGCTATAAAAGTCATGCTAAAATGCTACACCAAATGAGGGAAATGTGAAATGAAGAAGAAAACCAAAGAGACTAAAGGAAAAACCCAATGGGACAAATTCTAAAGGCAAATTAAACACTAGAAAAAAAATGGGAAAAAAAATAAAGAAAACAAAGTTGAAAAGATAGAGAAGAAAAATAAAATAAAAAAGCAAAAAGGCAAGAAGCTTAAAGGATAACAAAAAATAAACTTAGATTATGGCTACAAAGTCTTCAAACCTTCGTGAAATTCCTTGAATAAGCTCTTAAGTTGCCTTTCAAGAGTGGATAGTGACAACAGGATGTATTGCTCAGTGGTGGTAAATGCTAAAGTGAAGAAGATAATGAACGTGTGAAGGAATAAATAAAGGCAAATGTAGGAAGAGGTGAAAGTTAATAATGAAAATTTGAAATTGAAAGTTGCAACTATTATAAACAACTTAAAATGTTGGAAACTTCACTTGTTTATTCGTGGCATTTATCGACAGATGCCTGGAGCAAGAGAATGTGTTAGCAATTAATAGCTTGCTTAAGAAAGTGGCTTGGGCATATGCTGAATGATGCTAGCTCAAAGAAAAACCACTGCAAAAGTTCTAATATGGCACAATGATGTAAAGTTTCAAATATATCTTTTAAATTGGATGTCAGATTTAAATAATCTCTACTGTTGTTAAAAGGTATTTATGGCCATAGTGGAGTGCCCAATGCAAATATTTGTTGCAAAGAATGGCAATATTGTGTAGAAAAAATAGTGTGTGATCTAGTAATGTGATAGTGATGAAAGTGATTGTCACAAATGTAACTATAGATATTGAAAATTATCTGTTACCAAATTATTTCAGATATTATTATCTTACTGTCATGAATTCAAAGCTAGTTTGAAAACCAGTCAATAGACCAGAAAAGCGTTAAAAAAGGAAATCTTAAACTATCATTTAGTTATGAAGATTTGTGATCATTGCCAAGGAGTGGCATCAATGAATGTAAAAGCCACGATGTTAAGGCTTAAAAGCGCTGGTGTCTTCCGTTCCATTTCTTTGGTTTTTAAGCTTGATTTTGGAATTTGATTGCACCAAAATTTCTAGGGCTACAGTAGCGTGGATCAAGTCCTCACTTAGATCGTGGCATAACGTAGAGAGAATTAAGAGGGATCATGAAGAATTTCTAGCAAGGCTTTATCTCCTGCCAAATCCGTGTTGAATGGTTCGTGGATTCTAGGTGACTTTCCATGGAAACAGTGTGGAAACAGTGATTAATGTTCTCATGCACGACGAAAGTTTCTCCTTTGGCGATTGATGTGATCTCTTCTCTCTCTCTCTCTTTTTTAATTTGTTTTAGAGCATGTTGACGCTATTAAAATGGACATTCGTCTTTTGGGCGATCGGCCATGGCCGGGGAAGAGTCTCACAGCAGCTTGCAAGGCGGTTCTCTGGAGATCACTCCAACATGGGCATTTGCGCTGGTTTGTGGCGCTTTTATTCTCGTGTCATTGCTGCTGGAGCGAGCGATTCACTACACTGGCAAGGTATACATCCAGAAGAACTTTGATCGAGGATTGATTGCAATTGGAGTGATTGACAGTGGGTACGCAAGCGTCCGGAGAAATCTCTAGACAAAGCTCTCGACAAAGTCAAAGAAGGTTGCGCCAAGTTTATGAATTCTCCCGAGAACTTATCTCTTCATCTCTCTTGCCTCAGAGCTCATGCTTTTGGGATTTCTTTCTCTTCTGCTAAACGTGCTGCAGCCGTCCATAGCCAAAATCTGTGTGCCACGCAGCTACATCAACCATTTTCTTCCCTGTAAGATCAACGCGACTGCGGTGCAATTGCTCGGTGAGAGCCCCAAGAGCAGCCCATCCCCGCCGCACTCAAGGAGGCTACTTTTTGTCAATGTAGACGAACATCACCCTCGAAGATTTCTTGCAGGCGGGGGCAACACAGTCTCGGAGTGCTTCCAAAAGGTTAACTATCAAATTATGCTATATGGCTATCCAAAAAAATGTTGCTATTGTTGTTGACCAGGGAAAGATCCCATTCATCTCAGCCGAAAGCATCCATGAGCTCCACATTTTCATCTTTGTGCTTGCAATTGGCCATGTCGCCTACAGTTGCTTCACATTACTATTAGCCAGGCTCCAGGTTTGAAAGGGTATTTAGATTATCAAGCTCCTAAAAATGTGGTTTGACATTTTACCCAGGTTCATGCATGGAATGCCTGGGAGAAGAGGGCACAGGCTCTGGTTTGCGTGGATCCACCAGGTATTCTTCGTTTAATATTATTAACAGAATTCTTATATTCTTATAAAAATTATCATTACTATTCGTGTTTGACAATGCAGGTGTGGCCTCAAATAGTGGCCTGAAAAGACAGAACACATTTTTGAGGAAGCATACCAGTTCAATATGGAACACATCTTCTACTCTCAGCTGGATCGTAAGTCAAAGCTTAATTTCAATTTTACTTCGTCTTACCTGGTGTTCCAGTCCTGTTTCTTTGGACAATTTGGTAGCGGTGTCACATTCACAGAATACAATACTCTTCGTCAAGGTTTTATCCAAGTAAGCAAAGTTTGCGGGCCTCATACAATACTTTCTTCCGTTTTTTTTCTTAGAACCACAGGCTTGCAAACACATTTGACTTTCACAAATACGTACTCCGTGTTCTTGAGGACGATTTCAAGAAGGTAGTTGGCATAAGGTAAGTGCAAATATTATGGTTGGCTATCATTTATTATTATGAACAGTTCTCTATTGTGGGTGTTTGTTGTTATATTCGTCCTACTTAATGTCAATGGTATGCGACTTTTAGTTTGATTGGGCCCTGTAATAAAGCTCTCATTCTGCAGGGTGGTATACGTATTTCTGGATTGGATTCATCCCTCTTGTGGTATTATAGAGCTGGATTAAGGTAGAATTTTCACGAATAATTCTGCAGCTGCTACTTGTGGTTGGAGCCAAGCTCAAGCATGTAATTCTCACGCTGGCTGTCGAGATTGCCGAAGAGCAGAGTGGCGTGAGGTGCGTGGTTGTGAATCTACGAAACAATTTGTTCTGGTTCAAGAAACCACAGATCATGCTTTACCTTCTTCACTTTATACTCTTCCAGGTAACTGATCATTCCCAAAAAATATTATAAATATGTTCGTTGTTTTATTTTTTCAGAATGCATTTGAGCTCGCTTTCTTCGTCTGGGTTTGGGTCAGTTTCTGTACCCTTGGTGTGTGACATTCTCCAAATTTTTATTTCTTTTTTATTATTTTTTTCAGACAAGTTTCGGTTTTGGTTCCTGCTTCAGAAACAAGCTCAGCTTTGTTGTGGCACGCCTTGTTATTGGGTAGGGAAATTTTTGTAGAATCTCTTTTAACTCTTCCTCCTTTTGCTAGATTTCTCATGTTGGGTCTCAGCAGCTATAGAACTCTGCCACTCTACGCATTAGTAACCCAGGTATATCATCCAACTTTAACGAGGAACAATTAATCCTGTTTAAATTTCTGTTTCAAAAAGATGGGAGACGACTTCAAATTCGGGGAGCAAATCCAGAGCGCTCTCACAAACTTACGTGCAAAAGTCAGGGCCACCAAGAAAAAAGGTGGCGGACAATCAGACGCAAGCTCCAACGGCCACCAGCATAGTCCAAACTCTAACAACCATCAGGAAAGGAGCTCAAATGGACATGACCAAAGTTCTCATCAGGAAAGAAGTTTGCAGGATAGTCCCAATGAGATCGTCCACGAACCATAGATTTGGACTAAATGACCATTAATGTTTATAGAATCTTATTTACATGCAAAAACAACTGGTAGATCTGTGTTGGTGGATAAGAAAGGCCATGCAAGTTTGTGGGCACTCTTTATAAACCCCACCCCATTTCTCTCTCGACAGTGTCGTGTCTCAGTTCATATGTTTTGATCGTTTCTCTCATCCCATGGCAACAATGCTGGTAATTCTCATCGCTATCTTCGTCTTTGCCACTAGAGAAATCTGAAGATTCAATATATACGAATCGTAAGTAAAATTCAGTTGAATCACGCAATGAAAAATTTCATAACAAATTTCACAATCTAGAGCTAAGCTTACGTAGCATGTGACACATTATGTGCCATGCCTACATGGCAGTATTGTGGGAGGAGTAGAACAATCGGTGGATCGTTTGACTGGTGCGGCGGATTGACGAGCGCTCTCAGCCGAGAGATAGCAGCAGATTGGAGCAATCTCGTGGATTGGAGGTGGGGTTCTCATCTATGGCACAGCTCTGGCCTTCCATTCCGATACATGGCACAGGGATCTCGCAATGTCGGCCACGATGTCGTGCGGCCAGCTCCATCGCCCGTCACGAATTTGGGTCTAGGACGAGAGTAGGTGCGAGTGAAGATTTTCTTTTTCTTTTTCCGACACCTACATTCGTTTCTATCCGGCTTATGGGAATTCAAGGACAACAAAGGAGGGAGCTCCAAGAGTTTTCTTCTAGGCAGCAGAGGTCTAGAAGGAAAACTCGTTCTTTCCAAGGCTAAGGCCGAGCAGGAGAAAAATGGTGGCTTACTGCTGCTGATCCTCTTCGCCAGGTTCCGAGAGTATAGATAGCGAGCGAAAATCCAACGAGGAGCCTGAATTCGAGTAAAGGAACTTCCAGCGATGAAAGCCACTCGTTCACCACTACTGCTAGCGTGGAGGACGACAAACCAAAGTCCTGGTTCGACAGGATACCAAAGAGATGGCAGATTGTAGCCTTGTGGTTCCTCCTGTGCAACATGGATCGGGGATGGCTTTTGAACTTTCGTTTCTCTTTTTGGATGGAAACTGGCTCGCTTGACTAGAAAATCTTTGTGAACATTACTATTCTCCCAATGGCTTCCGAGTTCCATTGGAACTTCACCACACTCGGGTTAGTGCAATTGTCATTCTTTTGGGGATATCTTCTCACACAGGTATCTTGAGTGGAGAATAAGGTTTGACGCTTCTTTCTTGCAGATTGCTGGAGGTGTGTGTGCAGACAGCATTGGAGGGAATTTTAGCCATCCTTCTTGGCTGGCGGAGATATCAAAAGGCAGGCAACCACGACGCTTCTCCAAGCTCTCCCAGCCGACGAAAGGCGTCCCTTGAAGTCGTGGTGACAATGGCGGAGAACTTTACCAGGCTACTTTTCCTCCTCGCTTCCAGGTCGTCACCGCGGACAATGGAGTGTGTTTTGCTCTCAAGCCCGTGGCCAACTAGTTAAGTCCTTTCGTTTTCCCTTAGAAACTTCTCTGGCTTCGCTAGCTTTTGTGTCAAGTCTAGGCCATCTTTCTCTCGATCTCTCTCTGTTTTATTTTTCTCTTTGGCGTCTGACTTGTGGGATCCACAGGTGTGACTACTCGGTGCTTCCCGCGATCACAACACCGTACGTGAGAATAACGTAAGACGACTTTGTTTTTTTCACCTCCACTGACTTCTCTAAAACACGCAGAGACGGAAGTACATTGTAACGAAGAAACAAAACCGACGTAAGCCCCTTTGCTTCTCTTGACTTGTGGCAGAAACCAGCACAAACTTTCTTCCATCCTTTCTCGTGTTTTACTCTCTCGTTTCTCCAGGTTGAATTGAATTGCCGGGGCCACAGGAGGAAGGTATGTATATATGCGCTCAATTTTGGCTCTTCGTTGTTGGTTAAGCATTTGCAGCATTGTTTTATGATCTACAGGTGATGCAATCCATTGGTTTTCTTGGCAACTTAGCCACGTCCATTCGCCTTCTCTGTTCCCATGTAAGATCCTCTCCATATCTCGCTTTAAGTGGAAGTTTGGTTTGATATTTGGTCTCTTGCAGGGTTGGATGCTTTCTCGCAGTCGGGATTGTGTTCCAACCATCAAGATATTGGCCCTTGCTATGTGGTAAGCAATTAATCTGGCATATCCTACTTCTGGTCAGAATTGATACTGAGCTTGTAACAGAGAGTACTCCCCAATATGGCCGGAGTTCTTCCTGGTGTCCTGCTGCAACAGCTCGTCTTGGTAAAGGTTCCTACTTCTACTCATAATGAACTAAACTTCTGAAGAAACTCGTTGCTTTGTTTTAAACTATTTTTGTTCTCACTAATCTCCAGGAGCAACACATTCAGCAAGCAGTGGACCAACCAGACAAGAGCAGCATGAGCCAAGCAAGACCAGCCAGGCAGCCACACCCGAGCAAGCAGTGATCCAGCTCCATCAACAAAGCGATGTGGGGCAACGGGAACTGATACCTAAGTGCCAAAAAGGGAACCACCTACTACAAAATTAAACGGCCAAGTGTCACATAGGGACATGGGGAGTGGAGGCAGTGGAGCATCTATGGGGCAGTCCTCTCAGGGAAGTTATATGTACTCAAATTGGAAATGCAACTTTTGATGGCCATTTGCCTACATGCAGCTTGTTGCAAATGCCAAGCTGGGGCATCTGGAACACAGAACTCAAATGACTCTCAAATAGTCTTTTGAAAATCAATATCACTGAAATGCAATTGTGGCTATAAAGAGGTTCATCTATGCTTATGCTTTTCCTTTTAACATCATTTGTTCATCTTTTTGGGAAGACATGGTGGATGCTTTACTTGTTGCTGGAAAGGGAAACAAATCTACTATAATCAAATATGAAAGACTTCATGTTTAACATTTGAATGAAGAATGTGAAAGTTTGAAGGAGAGGATGCAATAAATCAAAGAAGGATGGAAACATTATGGTTGTAGTATCACTTTGGATGGATGGCAATGCAAATTCTTGGCTGTGAGTTGTCAAGGTTGTGTGTTCCTAAAATCGATGGATGTTTCAAATGCAATCAAGACTGATTTATATCTCTATGAGTAGTGATTCTGGAATTTGAACCCAAGAATATTGTCCAACTAGTCATAGATAATGCAGACAATTGTGTGGGCATGGGCCAACTTATTGGAGGAGTTCCCTCGCATCATACATGGTCATTGTGTTTGCTATGTTCTTGATTTGTTATGCGAAGATATTGGCAAACTTAAATGGGCACAACCATTGATTAGTGGATGTGAAAAGGTGGTTACCTTCTTCACAAAGAAACCAAAACTTCTAGCTGCTTTCCAGAAGATTGCACCATGGGATTTTGTGAAGCCAACAACAACATAATTTGCTTATAGTTACTTGGTTACAAGCCAATTTGTGGATGAGAAAATGATGTGAGCTATCTAATAGCTTAATTGTAAGTGATGTCTGGCTTGATACGTGGAGCTATGTATCTAGAGCAGACGAAGTGAAAGTTCTAGTGAAAAACAATAAGTTTTGGATGCAATGTTCTGCATTTGTTGTGATCATGGCCCCGATTCTAAAGCTGTTAAAAATAGCTGATAGGGATGGCACAAGGATGGGCATCATCTTTGAAGCTATGGATCAAATGCAAGAGAGCTTGTAGAAATTGGCTAATGATGATGTGGTGGACAATAGAGAATTGAACCACTTAAAGCATTCAATCTGGTCCAAACCATTGGCTTAATCGTCTATAAAGTGTGGGCCCTTGTTTACATCCATTGTGGATGGACATGGAAGAGGATGTTGAAGGTAACCATGCATACTTTGAACAAATTTCAAAGGGGGATTTGAAGCTTGAGGAAAAGTTAATGCTTCAATTTCATGATTTCAAGAAAAATTGACCTACAGAAACGAGACATAATCCTGCATCTCAAGGAAACATGTGTAACACAGGAATTTTTTGGTGGGGAGAGTATGGATCTTAACTCCCTGACCTGCAGAAGGTGGCTATGTGAGTGCTTACCAATGCATTTCAGTTTCTGATGCTGAAAGAAATTGGACCACTTGGAGCATTGTCCAGTCTAAGAAAAGAGCTCAGTTGCTAACTGTGAATATGGAAAAGTTAGTGTATTATTACACTAATTTGAAGCTAATCCAACTTATAGAGATAAAGGGCACACCTTGTAAGGAGATTGATCCAGATGATTTGGATTTAGGAGCCAATTGGGAAAGGTTTTTGCATATGTAGCAAAGGATGCAAGAATTCCAAGAACTTTTATAAGAGACAAATGAAAGTGTTGTGAAAGATGAAATTGATGATGATGAAGAATATTCAAATATTTAAAAAGTGTTTTTAAAATCTTTTACATTTCTTTAGGTTTTTAGGTTTGTTACTAATAAACTTGTTTGGAGCAAAATTTGACATTTGCAAAGGCATTTTGGTTTATGCGTTTAGAACGTTTGTGAGTTTGCTCGATCAGTATGAAGCAAGCTCTAGCAAGCAGTGATCCAACTTGATCCAACTCCATCTAGTAACACCGCTCTGCGACGAAGAACAAAAAAGGCTCGTTCGAACTGGAAGTCCTTTCTCAAGGCTACCAGCTGAAGCTTTCTCGAGAGTGTGGACCTTACCAGAGACATTACACCGGAAGAACTTGATCGCACTGTCAAGCCGAAGGAGCAGAGCTTTCCCGCTGATGGCGTCCAATAAGAGAAGCTGCGAATGTGGCCAACGTCCCGGGTATATAAAGGTGGAAGCTTGGAGCTTGTGTTCGCTGTCTCAGTCTTTAGATTCGATGAGTTCACAGTCACTAAGAGGGACAAGACCATGGACGATCATGTCGATATCGATGTGAAGAAGGCCTGCTGCTATTTGGGAGGAAGAAACAAGTTTTTGCCCTCAAAACTTTTAGATCTTCCAGCAAAGTACTAGCACTCCACAAGATATCCAGTGAATGATTCTCGCCACCTTTGGAATGAAAAGGAGATGGAAGCGAGAGAGCTCGTGTCGATGATCCGGAATGGCGGCTTGCAGGAAGCCCACGCAAGGATCCAATCCCATCCCCATTGCGCAGGCACTTACCTGTGGAATGTGACGCTCACGGAGCTCGCCAAGAGTGGCCGCCTGATGGAGGCCAAGAGCTTCTTCGACAATGCGATGCCGATCCACGATACCATCTCGTGGAATGTGATGGTGGTGGGATTTGCCCGGAATGGGCATCTTGCGGACGCCGAGAGAGCCCACCGCGAGATGCCACAACCGAGCCTTGTGTCGTCCACGGCAATGATCGTTGCCTACGCGGAGAATTTTCGATTGCACGACGCGAAGGAGCTCTTCGATCGACTGCCGGTCCTGGATCTAATCTCCTGGAACGCACTTCTAGCAGCATTTGCCCGGGCATGGGATTTCGTGGGTTCGCAGAGGGTGTTTCGATCGATACCCGAGCTGGATCTCGTGTCCTGGACGACGATGGTGGTCTTGTTCGCGAGATCTGGCAAGGCGGCGGTGGCGAAAGAGCTCTTCTCCCGGATGCCCGAGCGAAATCTCGTCGCGTACAATGCGATGCTGTCGATAAGCGCAGAGAGAGGCGATCTGGAAGGAGCTTGGTCGATCTTTGCCACGATGCCGGAGAGGAATTTGGTGTCATGGACGAGCCTGATGGGTTCCTGTGCCGAGGCCGGGGACCTCGATCGCGCAAATGCCCTGTTCCACGAGATGCCCGAGAGAAATCTCGTCTCCTGGACGGCGATCCTGAACGCCCACCAGGGAAACCTCGATGCGATGGAGGAGATCTTCGCCCAGATGCCTGCGAGGAATCTAGTTTCCTGGACCGCGATGATCAGCGCCTACTCCCAGGCCGGGAAGATCGAGAGAGCCAAGAATCTCTTCGAGCGACTGGAGGAGAGAGACCTCGCCTGCTGCAACGCGATGCTGTCCGGCTACTCGCGCGGCGGCGATCTCGCCGCGGCCGAGAATCTCCTGGCGAGAATGCCATCGCTGGACCTGATCTCCTGGACCCTGCTCCTCGCCGCGCTCTCCCAATCCGGCGCCCTGGAGAGGGCCAAGCGCTGCTTCGATGCCCTGCCGCAGCAAGACATCGCGACGCTCAACACGATGATCGCCGCGCTCGCGCAGTGCGGCCAGATCGACGCCGCCAAGAACACCTTCGACTCCATGCCCGAGCACAACGCAGTGTCGTGGACGGCCCTGATCACCGGACACACGTACGGCGGAGATCTCCCCTCGGCCAAGCACGCGTTCGATTCCATGCCCCAGCAAAATCCCACCGCCTGGAACGCCCTCCTCTTCGCGTATGCCCTCAACGGCCATCTCGCGTCCGCGCTGGACATCTTCCAGCGAATGCCCCACCAACGGACGCACGCCACGTGGGCAGCGCTGCTGACTGGATATGCCCACCACGGGCATAGCGCCCAGGTGGAGAGCTTGTTCCGCGAGATGGCGATGGTGGAGATGCCCTGCGAGGCCGCCATCACGGCGCTGCTCGTCTCCTACAGCCGCGCTGGGGATTTTCGATCGGGGGGGAGGCTACTGGCGACCATGGCGGGCGATTTCGAGATCCGGGCGAGCAAGCAGCACTACTGCTGCGTGATCGATCTGTTGGGTCGAGCCGGGCATTTGGATTCCGCGATGGAGCTTGTGAGAAGCATGCCGTTTCATCCCAGCCGGCACGACTGGACGTGCGTGATGGCAGCGTGTGGGAGGATCGAGTGCGATCCAGGCGATGGAGTCGTCATCCGGGTAGCCGCCAAGCGCTCGCTCGTGGAAGACGAGCGACTGGAGATCGATCGAGACGTGGGGATGGGTCAGTGGAGTGGGGGTTACGTGTTGCTCGCGAATTCGTACATGCTATCCACAGTGAATCTAAAGGCTCAAACTTGATAGGCTTTTAGAACAGTTCCACTTTCACACTACAGTTCTTTATGGGCCACACTAAAGTTTTTCTTTGCAACAGTGACATTCCCAAAGTCTAGATTAAAATTCTCCAGCAGAGAAAACAAAGTGACTGTCCTAGACAGAACTTTCAAAGGGTAGCTAGCATACAGTGTCACTACGTAGTGATCTTCTGGAATGCGAGGAAAAACTTCAAAGAACAGCGTGGAAGAAGATCGAATCACTCGTTTGTAGAAAAAGGTGGCTCAAAAGTTTGAAACGTATCACATAACTTTGGATTCTGACACGAAGAGTCGCGATTTAGACAGAAAAAAGAGGAGCCAACATTCTAGATGTATAGGTAGTAGGGACACCACATGAAAAACCACAATCACAAAAGTTGGCAGCTTATTGACAAGAGCTTCCAGTCCATGGAGCTTGTCGATATCAAGTCATCCCGATGAGCTCCCGGAGCTTCTGGAGGAGATGAGCATCGATCTGGAACGCCCTCTCGATGACATCGTCCAGGATGGGCGGGTCCGAATCAAACACGGCCTTGGCAACCTGGGAAACTCCGGGGTTCTGCGAGTTGAACCCGGCCACCGCCAGCGCGGGCTCCTTGTCAATGTTGATCTGGAAGTGGATCAACCCGCGGGGGAAGACGAAGAGCTCGCCGGGATAGATGGTCTGCGCGAAGAGCTTGTTCTGCGGCGCGGTGGTGACGAAGCCCACGTAGAGCTTCCCCTCGACGAGGAAGAGGAGCTCGGTGCCCCGGGGGTGGACGTGCGGGGGATTGACACCGCCGGGAGCGTAGTCGAGGCGGGCAAACGAGACGCCCAGAGTGTTGAGCCCAGAGAAATTGCCAACGTTTGCAGCGGTGACGATGGAGCCGAGCTTGTTGTCGGTGTTGCCCGGGTTCTTGAGGACGCCCGACTTGAAGTCCTCGGCCGCCACCGCGGCGAAGGGCTTGCACACCACGCCATTGATCGTGGTGGCGGACGTGTTGTCCGCGACGCAAACGTCCTGGAGCATGTCCTCGTCGGCAGCGAGGATTGGCGTGGGGGCGATCGTCATCGCGAGGAGAAACGCGAGGATGACCACCATGATCGACATTGGTGCCATGAATCCTAGAGAAACTATCACTCGACGAGCTTCTCTTTTTAACTGACTAGATGAGCTTGGGAGATGGAGGGTGTGGTTTTAAAGAGGGTCTGGGACAATGACAGGGCAACCTCTTTGATGCGCGGAATATGCGAACGCTGCGCTGGCCTTGGAGTCCAATTAACACACGGCAGGGAAGAAGCATCTTGGCCGTCCACGTGAGATGTTGATCGACGGTTGAGGCGGGGTTATGGATGTTGAAATAAGGAAGCCAAGGCTAGGGTTTGATATCTTTTGGGGCGAAGGCGGCGTTTTGGGGTAAGCGCTAGTGCTCTGTTTCTAGGAGATTTTCTTGTAGATCTGGTGTCGCGGCGTTGCTAGGTTGTTTGTGGGGTGGATTTGTGCTCGGTTCTTAGATTTTCTTGTAGATCTGGTGTTACAGGGTTGCTGGATAGGTTTTCTTGTAGATCTGGAAGTGAGGTCTTGTGCTTGTGCTCGGTTTGTAGATCTGGTGTTTGTCTTATTGTTTGATGTCTGGGTTGTGGGCTCAATTTCTAACTCGATCTCTTGGCTGTGTAGGTGATACTCATCAGCAGATATGCAGATATTCGTCAAGACCTTGACTGGCAAGACCATCACCTTGGAGGTGGAGAGCTCTGATACCATCGATAATGTGAAGACTAAGATCCAGGACAAGGAGGGAATTCCTCCTGACCAGCAGCGCCTCATCTTTGCGGGCAAGCAGCTCGAGGACGGTAGGACGTTGGCGGACTATAACATCCAGAAGGAGTCGACTCTCCACTTGGTGCTTCGTCTTCGTGGAGGGATGCAGATCTTCGTCAAGACGCTCACTGGGAAGACAATCACTCTCGAGGTGGAGAGCTCGGACACCATCGACAACGTCAAAACAAAGATCCAGGACAAGGAAGGAATCCCACCGGACCAGCAGCGTTTGATCTTTGCCGGGAAGCAGCTCGAGGACGGTCGGACCCTTGCGGATTACAACATCCAGAAGGAATCAACTCTTCACTTGGTGCTTCGTCTTCGTGGAGGGATGCAGATCTTCGTCAAGACCCTGACTGGCAAGACCATCACCCTTGAGGTGGAGAGCTCGGACACCATCGACAACGTCAAGACTAAGATTCAGGACAAGGAGGGTATCCCCCCGGACCAGCAGCGCTTGATCTTTGCCGGAAAGCAGCTCGAGGATGGACGCACTCTGGCGGACTACAACATCCAGAAGGAGTCGACGCTCCACCTGGTTCTCAGGCTTCGTGGTGGGATGCAAATCTTCGTGAAGACCCTGACAGGCAAGACCATCACTCTCGAGGTGGAGAGCTCGGACACCATCGACAACGTCAAGACAAAGATCCAGGACAAGGAGGGAATCCCACCTGACCAGCAGCGTCTCATCTTTGCGGGGAAGCAGCTCGAGGATGGACGCACCCTGGCGGACTACAACATCCAGAAGGAGTCGACGCTCCACCTGGTGCTTCGTCTTCGTGGTGGGATGCAAATCTTCGTGAAGACCCTGACAGGCAAGACCATCACTCTCGAGGTGGAGAGCTCGGACACCATCGACAACGTCAAGACAAAGATCCAGGACAAGGAGGGAATCCCACCTGACCAGCAGCGTCTCATCTTTGCGGGGAAGCAGCTCGAGGATGGTCGAACTCTTGCAGACTACAACATCCAGAAGGAGTCGACTCTCCACTTGGTGCTTCGTCTTCGTGGAGGGATGCAGATCTTTGTCAAGACCCTGACTGGCAAGACCATCACCCTTGAGGTGGAGAGCTCGGACACCATCGACAACGTCAAGACCAAGATCCAGGACAAGGAAGGAATCCCTCCGGACCAGCAGAGGCTGATCTTTGCCGGCAAGCAGCTCGAGGATGGACGAACTCTAGCCGATTACAACATCCAGAAGGAGTCGACGCTCCACCTGGTGCTTCGTCTTCGTGGAGGGATGCAGATCTTCGTCAAGACACTCACTGGGAAGACGATCACTCTGGAAGTTGAGAGCTCGGACACCATCGACAACGTGAAGACTAAGATCCAGGACAAGGAGGGCATCCCCCCGGACCAGCAGCGCCTCATCTTTGCGGGGAAGCAGCTCGAGGATGGTCGCACCCTGGCGGACTACAACATCCAGAAGGAGTCGACGCTCCACCTGGTGCTTCGTCTTCGTGGAGGCATGCTTGCCTGATCCAACGATAAGTTTCATGACGATGGCAAAGCTTTCTCTTGTATCATGAAAATCTTATTCGAATAGAGGAAGCAATGTTATTACAAGTTTCTAAGATAGTGTGGTGGAGTTTCCGCAATCCATGATGAAGCTTAGAAAGTAGGCTGGCGATATACACTCGACAGTGGTGTCGTGGAGAACTCTCTTAGACCTGGACGCGTCCTTGTTGCACGAAGGATCTCCAAGGAAGTAGCCTTTGCGCACGCCATCGAAGATAAATCGAAAGCCACCGATTGCGAATGGAGAGAGCGAGGAGCATCGCCCGCAGTCCGCGAGAACCCGCGACACCGTGAGGCAATCCTCCTCCAAGATCATCAAGTAGCTCCCTGTTCCGAGGCTCAGCAAGAGAGCAAACAAAAGAGAGCAAAAGCTCCTCCTCATTATCGTCATCGTTATCACTTCTCACGTGAAGAACATGAGCTCCTCTTATAAATTACCGAGAGAGAACGTTTGGTTCCTCGCGTTCCTATGTACACACCTGGGAGGAGCAGCGAGATCACTGCTCTGTCTCGAGAAACTGCCAGCTTCCGCCGCTCGAAGTCGTGCTCTTCTCGTGGCTGAAGGATGAGGTGGACAGAGCTGCTGCGAATTCGTCGTCGTTGTCCTGCGGAGCTAGATCGCTGATGAGCTCCGGCTGCCAGTTGAAGATACTGCCCGCTTGGCTTGCGCTGTGGAAGCTGTCGAGGACGAGGCCTTCCACTTTCTTCTTCAAGAGTTCCACGTCTTCGTGGAGGATGGAAATCTCGCCTCTGAGAGAAAAGAAAGTTAGCAACAGAAGCATAAGAACTAGGAGATAAGAGCTTACTGGAGCGAGTCTACAACAGTCCCTTGTTTCATGAGGAACTCCCTTAGCTGTGTGGGGCAGACAAGTTTAGTTTGCAAGGAAGGCGGAGTAAAGAAGACCAAGCGTACCTTTGTGCAGTTATCAGCCTCTAAGTCTAGTTCGATGGACTCTTGTGTGATTTGTGCCAAAATGTCCTCTTCTTTTTGCAGTAGCTCCCGCGAAGCGGCTTCCTTTCGCAGCCTTTCCTCGTCAGCAACACGTTCATCTTCTTTGGCCTTGGCGATACGGTCTTGCAGTGTGGCTTTCATCTGGAATGACGTGCGGATAAAGAAAGCTCCAAAATCTCTACGTCTCTTACCTCTTCGAGAATATCGGAGGCCTTGAGCCACTCCGTCCGCACTTGCTGCACCCGAGAAAAGAGTTCTCTCGCTTCAGTTCCAAGCACTGCTTTCTCGCCGTAAACCTCTCCAGAGTGCTGTGATTCAGTGCGTTAGAATGGTATAGCATCTGTCGAGAAGAGCAACTTACCACTGCATTTGCTTCTCTAGCCTCGGCAACGGTCTTTCGAACTTCTTCGGCACTAGCATGTAAAGCTTCGACTCCCTCCAGGGCTTGAGCTTTCGCCGACCGAGCGGCAGCCTCGGCTTGCTCCGCAACTCTGCGCAGTTCTTTCATCTCTTGGATAGAAACCATCAAGTTTTGCTGCACGAAGAAACAGAGATCAAGCTTGAAATGGAAATTCTCTAGTCCCACCTTGTCAGTCTTGGTCTGCTCAATCATTTGCTCGATGGTCTCGCAATCCACTGCGTACATGGAGCTGGAAGCGCTCTTCCACACCCCCGGATCATCGGAAGAGACGAGCTCAGCGTTTTCGTCAACATTGTCGGTGTCAACAATGTCGGTGTCGGTGGAATCCATGGCTGGAGCCTCGGAGAATTCTCGATAATCTAAAATCTGCGTCGACTCAATCGACCGACGCGCCTTCCAGTCCAGGACCTCACCCTCTATGAAATCGATGCCGGCTTGGAGGTCATTCTTGTGCTCGATCGCAGTAGCTCGAATGATCCGGCGATCAACCTACACGCGCAAGAAAGAAATGTCACATACCATCTACTACAGCAGAATCCAAGAAAGAAAAACCTGAGGATAGAGCTTCTCGAGAGCTGCGCACGTGTCCATCGATCGAGGGAGAAACGGCAGCCCTGCGCAGCTGCCCAAGAACCCTAAAATTTCGAAGCCCTACAAAGAATATAATGCTCTTTTTGGCGCCACGTCAGATCCAATCCGGACAGTTAGTGCTTTCACCGCAATGGATGGCTGGGATTTGCTGTGAGCGAGAGCTAGGGTTCTTCTTTTTGGCCTCTCGGGATTGAGAGAGAGAGAGCTCGCGCTCGTCATGGCGGAGGTCGAGGTGGAGTACCGCTGCTTCGTCGGTGGCCTGGCGTGGGCTACCGACGACATCAGCCTCGGCGAGGCATTCAAATCCTTCGGCGATGTCATCGAATCCAAGGTACCGTGTTGTGATCCGGGGCGCATTTCGCCGAAATCTTGCCCCTAGCAGCGGCGCCTGTGCCAAGATCCCGCGCTCGCGCCCGGATCGAGAGAATGCGGGCGTTCTTTCGCCGTGATTTCTCACCAGAATGTGTGCGCAGGTGATTAACGACCGGGAGACCGGCAGATCTCGCGGATTTGGCTTCGTCACGTTCCGCGAGGAGCAATCCATGAAGGACGCGATCGAATTGATGAACGGCAAGGACCTGGACGGGCGGAACATCACTGTTCACCAGGCACAGCAGAGGCCCGCCATGAGCAACGCCAACAAGTCGAGCCGCTATGGCGGATCGAACAACTACAGTGGTGGTGGTGGTGGCGGCGACCGTGGCTACACCAACGAGCGAGGCAGTGGTGGCTACAGCGATCGCGGCGGCTATGGTGGGAGGAGGAATGGTGCTGGTGCTGGTGTTCCTGGCGGTGGTGGCGGTGGCGGTCCCGAGACAGGGAATGGTGCTGGTGCTGCCGGCGGCGGTGGACGCCGCTATGGCGGTGCTCGATCAGATGGCCGCTCCGACGTTGACAATTGGAGAAGAAACGAGTAGTCCCGGATCGATCAAGCTCGACTTCCAAGCCGAGAAGAAACTTACGTACGCGTTCTAATTGCCGCTGTTGGTGTGATATGGTATGATACAACCGGTGGAATACAAAGGTATGGTCTCTCTTTCGATTTTCTATCATCTCTTTGGATGGGCTTTACGCGATCCTCACGCTGTCTTCAAGCGAATAGCGGCCAGCTCCGACTCGACGTAGTCTCCGGCAAGCGTCGCGGGATAGTTCTTGGCTGCTTGGGCCGATGCGAAGTGGCCCAGGGGCTCTAAGATCGCGTCCGAGGCAATGTGGCCGAACACCTGCGCGAGAGTTGGATGTGACGATGATGAGAAGTGGAGAGTTCTTACCGTGGAGGAGACTCTCCACAGGCTGCGTCCGGCCTGCTCCGCTGCCTCGGCTGCTGCGATGGTCTCCTTGGTCACTATGACTTCGTGCATTCCAGCGCTACACTCGCCGCCGGTTAGCCACTCGAGCTGTGAATCCAGGCGAGGAGGAAAAAGAGCTGAGATGCCTGCGAGAAAGGATGGATGGAGCTTGCGTTACCTCTTTTCCGGCTTGAACGAGCAAGCATCCGGGAGGAACACGGACGAGGAGCTTCTGGCCTTGCTTGAGCCAGATGTTGAGGCCGGGGAAGCGGCTTCTCCCGTGAATGGTGAGGAAGTTTAAGTCGTAGTGGTATCCGGCGAAGACGCTCCCTTCCTCGGTGAACTTGGAGAGATCGCTACCTGTAGGAGCCAGAAGATGAGGTCCCTAAGACAACGAAACTTAGGAGAGATATGGAAAAGAAAACGAGGAAGTCTAGAGTTCCAGTGTTCTTGCGCTACCTGAGACATCAAGGATGTGAATGCGTCGGGAGGAAGGCCAAATCCAATCGCAGCCATCTCGGCAACAATCTATGCAAACGAAAGTTTTGGAAAGTGTCAAGGAAAGAAACGAGAAAAGAGAGGCTTTTACCTCCACAGCTGCGATCATCTTGCGTCCCCATCCATCCATAACTTCGATCCAGTCGGGGAATCCTTCCGGGACTACTGGATCAGCGTTAAACTCCTGCGAAGATCATTGGAAGTTTTAAGAAATGCTAGACTCGATCGATCTATAGTTCTTAGAAATGCTAGAGTCGATCGATCTCTCTTCGAGTACCTTGAATCGCGTGTTGGCTGGACGGGGGCCGACTCTCCACATGTAGCGCCATTTTGGATCGGCCCCTACGGGCATTCGAGGCTTCTCGGAGTCTGGGATTTTCTCCATGCGTGCTTGGAGATCTTTGTCCAGAGCACACCGGGGAACTTCCACTCCCTCTGGTGTCACTCCCACCTAGAAAGAATTTGAAATAGAATGATCGAGGAAAGAAATTCTAGCCTAGAGAAGAAGTGCTCGATTGGATCGAGATCTACCTGGTAGTGTAGATGACGACGCTCTTGCTGCCGCTTGAATTCGTCCGCCATGCCGAAATATCGCTCCATCATGTTGAGGAATCGATCGTTGTCCTCGGGCGTGCAGCGCGGATCGCGAAGAACAAGGGCGCCGGCCTCTCGCAGGCATTTGGCGACCTCCAGGCAGGAATTCCTCACATTCTCGGGCAGGGGCTGTGATCCGCGCGCCTCGAGGTATGGCTCCAGCTCCACCACTGGAAGATCCATCCTAGCCCTACCCAAAATCGCAGTGAGCGGCAAAAAAATGTAGCAAGAAAACGAACTAGGGTTCTTCACGGGAAATGCTTCTCGATGATAGGGTTTTGATCTCTCCGCTGGCGCCACACGATCGATCGAGAATCCCGGGTTCCAGGAGCTGCTCCTTCTCGCAGGAATCGCTACTGACACAGAAATCGCCGCTATTCGAGAGAGTAGTCGCCGATACCCACCAGGTACGCGATCGATTCGTCGATCTTCTCCGGCAATGCAGCCGATCCAAGGATCTGGCACGGGGGAGGCAGATTCACGCCAGCATTGCCAGAAGCAGCGCTCCTCAAGATCCAGTCGTGGGGAACTGGCTCATACAGATGTATCTCAAGTGTGGGAGCTTGATCGATGCCTCGCAGGTGTTCTACCAGCTGCTGGAGACGAGTGTGGTGAATCTGGTGGCCTGGACCGCGCTGATCGCGGCTTATGCCCGGAATGGGCAAACCAAGCTCGCGATCCGGCTCTTCCAGCAAATGCAGCTAGAGGGGAATTCGCCCGACCGGATCACTCTCGTGACGATCTTCGAGGCGTGTGGCAACCCCGAGAATCTGGAAGATGGTAAGAAGATCCACGCCTATCTCTCTTGCAACTCGGACGTAGTTCTTGGCAGCTCTCTCATCACCATGTATGGAAAGTGTGGGAGTCTAAGCGAAGCTTGTTTGATGTTCCAGAGCATGGAGGAGTGGAACACCGTGGCGTGGAACTCTCTCATGGGAGCTTTCGTCCAGCATGATCGAGTGGAGGCGGCGATGGAGCTCTACTGGGAGATGCTGCAGTGTGGATTCTTGCCGAGTAGACCGACTTTCCTGACGGTGTTGGCGGCCATCTCTAGCCTCGAGTCTCTACGACACGGTAAGCTTGTTCACGACACTCTTGTTGAGGCTGGTCATGAGGATGATGTTGTTGTCCAGACAGCGCTGGTAAACATGTATGGGAAGTGCGGAAGCGTGGTGGAAGCAGTGGAAGTTTTCGACAGGATGCCCCGGCACGATGTGATATTGTGGAGTGCCGTGATCTCGGCTCACGTCAACTGCGCCGAGTACGAAGAATCTCTCAGGCTTTTCCGGAAGATGCAGCTCGAAGGGAACAGGCCAAACAACGTGACGCTGGTCAGTGTTTTGAGCGCTTGCGAGGGGCCGCAGGCACTGGAGACAGGGAAAGGGATTCATGAGTGTGTTGTGGAGGCCGGGTACGAGGGGGACTTGATCGTCGGGAATGCCATTGTGAGCATGTATGGGAAGTGTGGCAGCTTGGAAGACGCGTGGGATGTCTTTCACAGGGTGCCGCGGAGAAGTGTGGTGACTTGCAACGGGATGATGGGGGCTTGTGCCGTGCAAGGGGACTCGTCAGGTGCTCTCAAGCTCTTCCGGTATATGGTGCACGAAGGCATCGGGTTTGACAACATCACCTTCCTCAGTGCTCTCTGTGCGTGCTCGGGCACCTCGGGCTTGTCTCACGGCGAGTTCTTTCACGCTCGCATGTTGGAGCGCGGGCTTGAGCTGGACATATTCGTCGCGAATGCACTCGTCAACATGTATGGCAAGTGTGGGAAAGTAGAGGCTGCCGAGCACGTCTTTGAAGAGCTCGCAGAGCAAGATGTTCGTACATGGAACGCGATGATTCTGGCCTACGTCCAAAATGAAGAGGAGAGAAGCGGACTTTTGGTGTTTCGACACATGATGCAGAGTGGATACAAGCCGGACGAAGTTACCTTCGCGATAACTCTCAACGCTTGCTACCATCCCAGGTTCTTGAGGGATGTTCACTCTCTCATTTCTGAGACGGGGATATCAAACACAGTCGTTCAGAACGCGCTGGTTGTCATGTACGGGAGATTTGGTCTGCTGGAGGAAGGTTATCAGGTGTTTGAGAAGCTGGATCAGGAGAGCATTACGAGCTGGAACGTCATGATAGCCTCCTGTGCTCAGAGTGGACAAATGGAGGCGGCATTTTCTCTCTTCAGGGAAATGCAACACCAAGGAGTGGTTCCGAACAAGGCAACACTCCTCATCATGATCAATGGCTGTTCCACCTCGAACGAGGCAAAACTTCTGCAGTGCTACTGGACAGACGAGCTGCTAGAGTCGCACAACATATTGAAGGTTGCTCTTGTGAGTCTCTACGGTCGATGTGGAAGCTCTCGTGAAGCTCTGGACATCTTTGGAAGACTGGAATCGCCGCCTACAGCGTGCTGGAACTCGGTCATCTTCGCTCATGTCCAGAGCAGGAGGGACTCCGAAGCGTTGAAGATGTTCTGGCGGATGCAGCAAGCCGGTGTTTGGCCAGACAAAACCAGCTTTGTGGCCGTCGTCAAGGCGTACTCCAACGTGGGGATGACAGAGCCGGAGATCGACTGGTTACGAGCAGTGATAGCCAACAGCGACGTGGAAGACGGAGTCCCCATTGGAAATGCTCTCATCAGCATGTATGGGAGGTGTGGCAGCTTTGGAAAAGCTCGAGACCTCTTCGACAGCATGGCCGAGCGAGACGCGGTCACTTGGAACACGATGATGAGCGTCTCGGAGCAACTGGAGCACGGGAGAGACTCCATCCAGCTCTTCCGACAGATGCTACAGGAAGGAACTCCTCCAGACAAAGTCACCATCCTCACCGTCCTCAACGTCTGCGCGAGCCTCCCAGCGCTGCAAGAAGGCAAAGCGATCTGCGCGTGGCTGGACCACACTCCACTCTCGGCGAACCAGATGATCGGCAACGCCATCCTCAACATGTACGCGAAGTGTGGATCCAGAGACGAAGCTCGCAGGATCTTCAGCGTGATGCAAGGCCGGGACGCCGTCTCCTGGAACGCGCTCATCGGGGCATACGGATCCTACAGCCGGGGGAGGTACGCGTTCCAGATCTTCCAGGCGATGCAGCTCGAAGGCAGCACCCCGGACGCCGTGACTTTCACCACGATCCTGTCGGTGTGTAGCCACGGTGGTCTCTTGGGCGAGGCCGTCAAGTGGTTCCGGTGGATGAGAGAAGACTACTACGTGGAGGCCGAGACGGGGCACTATGGCTGCATCGTGGATTTGCTGGGACGCCTGGGACGAGTTCCAGAGGCCGAGGAGGTGGCCGAGAAAATGCCCGCTGGGACCGATCCAATCGTGTGGACGACGCTGCTGAGCGCTTGCCAGGTCCATGGTGAAACGCAGCGAGGGAAGAGAGCCGCGGAGAGACTGGTGGAATTGGATCCAGAGGTGACCTCCGCCTACGTTGTGCTATCCACGATCTATAGGAAGGAAGAATAGTATTGTGTGAAGTCAATAGAAGACTCGTTGACTTACTAAAACCAGTCAACCGTAAGCTGACCAGTGGTCCTCTTTTTGCATGGTGGTCTGGGTTGAACTGACAAATTCATATACAGAAGCTTGCTTTTATTTCTCCAATCTCCATCGTAACCCCAGATCGCCTCCAAAATAAGTCACAATGTCACTAGTCCTCGTTGTCAAGTAATTCGCTAGGTTGACATGGTTTCAATCTCTCCACTTTGATCCTGAGCCGTGTCAAATGCTAAGCAGCAACCTGGCCAGTGGTTTCAACGAGTCATGAAAAGAGTTGCAAAACAAACTTACCCGACAACCGGTCAGTGCAGATAATTCGTGATTGCCAGAGAAATCGGGCCACTGAGGATCACATGAAGTATCTGTGACAAAGAACTCCCCCTGAGTACCATCCTCCAGGCATATATCCGGCCTCGTGAAGTAGGATGCATTCACCATTGCAGCAGTGGCTTTGCATGTAGCTTCTCAATCTTTAACTATATTGTAAAGCTGAGAAGAATACTTTCGCATGCCGGGCTGGTCTTCGTTGAATGCTCCCCAGAAAGCGTCTCAAGTTGTATCTCCCCCATACTCACTAAAGGCACAGTTTGTTGGCTGACTAAAATGGACACCTGAGATTTTAGCTGGAGCATCCTCCCAGCTTGGTCCAATGCATTCATCACGCACAAAGTCTCCCCAGTGACGATCACAGTTTGTTGGGTTATGAAAATAGACTTTTGCTGCATAGAAAGAGGAAATAGCAAATTCCACGCAAAACTCTTCAACATCGTTGGAAGCTGGGAGGATGCCTGTTGGCACACTCCACCCATCATTGACAAATTCTCCCCAATGCACACCACACTTGCCAGCTTAGAAAAAAACCAAAAGAACATAATGAGCATCGTGGATATTGAGAAAGAGAGAAGAGGTGATTTTTGAACGGATTTGTCACCACATGTTTGTGATATTTTTAAATTTATGGATGACTGACTTACATTTGTGAGTTCATAGCTTTAACCTTCATGAATTCATTTTTCATATCAAGACATAACTCATTTTATAACACATCAATGATCAATAAAATTTTAATGCAACTCAGAAAAAAGGAAACAATATCAACCTAATTTTACATGAACTATTAATGATAATTTCAAGAGGATGCAAAGCACAGCTAAAGTAGTACATAGTCCTATGGTATTGACTTTGTGAGTTGAGTGTTTACTAGGCAAGTGTTTATAAGTGTTTTTAAGAAGTTTAGACTTGTCTCCTAAGAGTGTGATAGACCGAGAGTTTTGCAGGCGTCTTGTGAGGATTCCAGGCGAAGAGCCTGTCGTCCTGTGAGTGTGCAGTGAATTCCCTTATGTGGCATCTGGAGGTTTCTTGCTCCTCAACGCTTTTGCAGTGTTCAAAACGTCCAAGGCTTTCCTGGCTAAAAGCCTCACCGGCATTTACAGCGAGCTTACCTCTGCATTTTGGTGGCTGCATGCGGGCAAACTTAATGCACATTGCCTAGTCGTGGCCTTGGCCAACACTTCTGCATTGCAAGACTGGAGATACGTGGAATAGTCACAACAAGTTCGATCGTTCCACCCTTATAGGGGCACACAGCACTGCCCAGGTTGCTGCTTAGCATTCGGATGGGACCATGGGAACAATTGTTTCTACATGGCACATGCTCAACCATTTCATAGTGAGCATGCCAGGATACAACATTTCGCTGGAGCTTGCCCCGTTGGAGCGTATGCCAAAACAGGGCATCTGGATGAGGAAAATCTGGTAGATGGGATGTTACGTGTCTTGGCTACGATGGTCAACCTCTTATCGGAAAGAGGTCTTGTCAGTGAATCAAATGTACTCGATTATATGTATATCAAATGCCCCTCTGGGACATGGCGCCCACTAAATCTCCTAATCTCTGTTCTTGTGGCATCGCAATGGTCACGCTTACGTTCCGTGAAGACAATGTAATCGCGAAGACAACATCGAGCAAAAACATTACAATAGCACGTCATGCGCAGCCGGGGAATCGAACCCCGGTCAGTACCGTGGGAGGGTACTATGATACCACTACACCAGCTGCGCCTTGACATTAACAAGACTTTTGCTCAATCCACATGGCAGTCTTCCACGAAGCGAGCTGGATTTTTTGCCAACACTCGGATAGCGTGCTGGTCGCTTGATGATTTCGTCAGGAGAGAATTCAAGGTGTGTCCAATTTGGAAGCACGTCTCAAAGAGAGAGAGACATCACTGGATTCACCCTCGGCAAGATTTCCAACGCTTGGCGTCTAGTCATTGATCCACAAAGATATATATATACTTGCAAAATCAAGAAGTGATTCGTGAGTGAGACGGGTGATAAGATCACTTGATCTTTCGACCACGGATTTGCCTCATCCGAACGTGGCGTTGCCTCGTTCCACCACGGCCTGCCTCCTGCCGTGGGGTGATCCAGATCTGGAGGTACTATGTTGTATAGATAACGAGAGGTTTTGAATTTGCAAACATGCAAGACCTAATCAGATTAAGATGTATAGGCAAAGTGCCAGCGCTCTATGATCTGGAAAACTTTTGAGAACTGGTCCCAGAGACAAAGAAAGAGGATTGGCATGACAAGTATTTCAGTTGCTCACCAACTCTATCTGTAAGCTTCACTCACCCAACCTAAACTCCAATTAATCCCCCCAAATCACATACTGTAGACAGGGAAACTGGCATCACAGACACAAGCCAAGTATGCAATGCCAGATTCATTGCCAAAGCCTCCAGCTGCTTCTAGTAGGCACTTCTCGTGGGTGGCAGCAACAAAGTGGATCTGACACCTTCTCTCTCCCATTTTTCCTTTAAAAAAATGCCATTGTCACTCACCAGCAGTTTACAAGCGACAAAATCGTTCCTTAGTGCCCTGTTCTTGTGATATCAATGCGCGCCTGGGTGGGGACCTCTTTCCTCATCGCTGAAAGAAAAAATCCGTCCGGGACGGTTTGCGATGGACAAGTGTGGATGGCTTCTTGTGCCGTCTTTGCAAGCTCTCGCATAAATCAAAGTTTTTCTATGATGTTAGAGAGCTCTATGGTGACTATCAAACGATAATCTTATCTTATCTATACATAATTTGATCATGGTGGAAGAAGTCGCCATTCACAAAGACGGGTGAAAAGAGCATGCCAACGTTTCCCACATTGGCGCGATTCTAGGAGTCAGATGCCTTTAGAATATTCCCCGAGGGGACACGTCGACTGAGCCTTATCCTACGGGCATATACGCATGTTGGGCAATGTATATTCGCATGTACGGGTCGCTGACACGTGTCCAGGGCTCGTCAGCCCTAGACGGTCGGCGGGGTGGGGACCACGTCAGCCGTGGAAAAACCTTGGCTTAACCCCGCCGTTATCTTTATAACGGAGGAGCTTTAAGCCCCCTTGAAAAAGCTCTCTTTTCTTTCTCCTCTCCCCTCACTCTCTTCTCTCTTTTTTTCTTCTTTGTTCTTCGTTTTTCTTGGGACTTTTTGATCGAAGATCATGGCTCGTCTCGCAGTCGGAGGTGCCGATGAGTACAGGCAACCAGATGCGATGAAGGGAGCTCTCGCGGAGTTCATTGGGACGTTCTTGTTCGTCTTCGCTGGTGTTGGATCGGCTATGGCTTTTGGTTCGTTCGCTCACCTCTCGCTCTATCTTGCTTCTTAAGCTATACCCTTTGATTGATCGGGGAAAAATGCGATGTTTGCAGCCAAGCTGGAAGGACCGATTCTCACACCCGCTGGCCTGGTGCAAATCGCGCTCGCGCACGGGATCGCCCTCTTCGTCGTCATCGCCGCCACCGCCAACATCTCGGGAGGACACATCAATCCCGCCGTCACGTTTGGCCTCGCGGTTGGAGGCCACATCACCATCGCCAGGGGAGTCCTCTACTGGATCGCCCAGCTCCTCGGGTCAGTGCTCGCGGCTCTCGTCCTCAAGCTCACCTTCCTCCACGAGGTAACAAGCTTTAGTCGTCCGTGAGCCACCTTGACTAACTTGACTGCTTTGGAACTTCCAGAGTGTTCCCATTCACGCCGTTGGAGCTCACGAATCTCTGATCTCCGCCCTGGTGATCGAGATCGTCACCACTTTCGCTCTCATCTTCACGGTCTACGGCACTGCGGTGGATCACAAGCGTGGAGTCGTCGGAACCATCGCCCCCATCGCGATTGGATTCATCGTGCTCGCCAACATCCTCGCGGCCGGGCCTTTCAGCGGCGGATCCATGAACCCGGCCAGATCCTTTGGCCCAGCTCTGATTACTTTCAACTGGACGAACCACTGGATCTACTGGGTCGGGCCTCTCATCGGTGGTGGCCTTGCTGGGCTTGTTTACAACGAGATCCTCATCACTCCACCACCTCCAGAGGAATACTAGAAGCTCTCCGAGCAGCTCGAGATTGGTCGGCACGGCATGGATTGGATCGTTTCTTTGGGTTGATTTGCTCTGTTTGTTGATACTGTGTTTTCTACTCTGTTTTTCACCTCGATTTTTCCTCTTTTTTTCCCCCTCTTCTTCGTTTTACCCTTTCTTTTCCTGCGCTGTATGATTAGGGATTACAGTCGGAGCAAAGAGATCGTCGAGATTCCGCACATTGGAAATAAACCCAAGAAGCAATCGATGTCAATGCAAGTAGTTCTTTTCTCAATTGTGCTGTGCTCGTTGTTTCCCGCCAGAGTGTTATTTAAAAAAACGTCCTAGCCCTAATGCACGAACACTATGACAAAAGTGACAAACACGTCCTGCTAGTTGTACACTGTGGATCTTGACTCTGGGGAAGATGATGGTTTATCGACCGGTTGTGGCAGCGAGCGAGGAAAATAAAACGATGGCAAGGAAAAAAATGTGCTGGCGAGGAAAAAAATGTGCTGGCGATGGAGATAATGGCCAGTCTTATCGCCTGTGGTGCTGTGATGAGAGACAGCTGTGGGACTCAGCAGTGATCCACGATCGTTATCACAATTTTCGCTCGAGATCGTGGTCATCATAATGGTTTGTTTGGGAATTGGTACTTCCAACTCTTTTGCAAAATCATTGAAAACCAAGAACACGAAAGAAGATTCAGGGGAGGGGGAGAAATTCCTTCCTAGTATTCCTCTGGAGGTGGTGGAGTGATGAGGATCTCGTTGTAAACAAGCCCTGCAAGGCCACCACCAATGAGAGGCCCGACCCAGTAGATCCAGTGGTTCGTCCAGTCGAAGGTAACTAGAGCTGGGCCAAAGGATCTGGCCGGGTTCATGGATCCGCCACTGAAAGGCCCGGCCGCGAGGATGTTGGCGAGAACGATGAATCCAATCGCGATGGGGGCGATGGTTCCGACCACTCCACGCTTGTGATCCACCGCGGTGCCGTAGACCGTGAAGATAAGAGCGAAAGTGGTGACGATCTCGATCACCAGGGCGGAGATCACAGATTCGTGGGCTCCAACGGCGTGAATAGGAACAGCCTAGATGTTCCAAAGCGAGAGAGTTTCCATGGGATCACAAGGATCAAAGTTAGTCCAAGCCAGTCAAGCGAGCGCGGCGACTAGAAGAGCTTACCTCGTGGAGGAAGGTGAACTTGAGGACGAGAGCCGCGAGCACTGACCCGAGGAGCTGGGCGATCCAGTAGAGGACTCCCCTGGCGATTGTGATGTGGCCTCCAACCGCGAGGCCAAACGTGACCGCGGGATTGATGTGTCCTCCCGAGATGTTGGCGGTGGCGGCGATGACGACGAAGAGGGCGATCCCGTGCGCGAGCGCGATTTGCACCAGGCCAGCGGGTGTGAGAATCGGTCCTCCCAGCTTGGCTGCAAGACAAGACGAAGTTTTGGTAAGTTCTCCTGCGAGAATCTAGCAGCTACACACCGAAAGCCATAGCCGATCCAACGCCCGCGAAGACGAACAAGAACATCCCGATGAATTCAGCGAGCGCGGCTTTCATTGCGTCGGGTTGCCTGTATTCGTCTGCCCCTCCCACCGTGAGACGAGCCATTTCGGATCGATCGAGCGATGAAAGAAAAAACAAAGGAAGAAAAACGAAGAACCAGAAAGAGAGATTGGCTTGGCCTCACAGAGATGGAAGATTTTTAAGGCCGGACTCATTCGTTGCTACCGGGTGACGTGGAGCCCACTGGCACCGCCCTAGCGCCACCCTGGGCCCCGCCACGTCAGCTGGACCAGCCTGCTGACTCACCGCCTGGACACGTGTCAGGCGCGAAGAGTTCGTAAACAGTCTCGTGTATAGTTTGCATTTGCGTTTGTGTTTGAGGAGGGCACACGATGCGCTCGTCCGTGCGATTTGCTCTGCAAAAGAATCGAACACTTGTCGCTACCACCTTTGGGGGTTTGTTTGATCGATCAATCAATCAATCCACGACTTGATAAGGATGTTATATGAAATCAGGAAGGCTTTTTATCCTACATAAACAAGATGCCCCTTGAAGGCATTACGCTAAGGTTGTAGAATTATATAGACAGAACGGGCAAGCCTTTCTTTCTCACTTTATTTGATCTCAACCAGTTGGTAAGCAACTTAGAACTTGACTAGCAACAAGGATTTCATCGGAGTACATTGAAAACCATGAGAGGACCCTCTTTGATACGACAAGCTACAAACAAAAATAAAAGATTTAGAGAATACCTAGGTCTGGAGCATTAACAGCCGGGCAGAAAGTCACAGTGCTTTTTCTGCCCGGCTGTTAATGCTCCAGAGTGCCGGCTTTTCCGTGACACCAAAGCACAACAAAAGCACAAATTAGTTAACAGTGAGTCATGCTTTACTTATAAGGGGTTGCCCAACCAATCAGAATTTTTTGTTTTTTTAAACCAGCTTTTCTTCTTGCATCTTTTTCTACCTTGTCTTTTTTAGTTTTCTCCTTGGCCTCAATGTGAGCAATGTATTCTAGATTAGTGAGTGAAGTTTCATAGGGAATAGAGATGAACCTCTACTTCTCTCTTGTTTGTGGTTGGTTTTAAGTTTGAGTGGAGAATGGCATTGTGAGTTGAGCTATAAATTCTTCCATTGTTGGCTCATGAGCTTCTTCCATTCTATAGTTTACATTTACAGCAATTGTAGCACTTAAATCATTATCATTGTTATCATCTGCACTTATATCAAATATAAGTCTTTTCATCTTCATCTTTTTAAAGTTTTTTACTTGTGCCTTCTAAAGCTACAGCCACGTGAAATTTGGATCCATAGTTGCACAATCGAAAAGCTAGAGTCCAGTTTTCTTAAAGCTAGCAATGATGTTTGCAAGAGTTAGAGCTTTGTCCAAGTGCTCTTCTCACCATTCCTGTTAAGATCTTTGTTGGAGTGTGTCTATGAAATTTTGCCTCCATGTACTCAGCATGGATGGCTTTGAATGTTATCTTGAAATGTTTGAAACAATATACATTAAGAGGTTGCATGTAATATGAAGTATGAGGTGGCATTATGACGATATCAATTCCTAACTCGAATGCTTTCTTTAAAGTAGCAAGAGCCATGACCATCCATCACAATGCAAGCTCGATTTGTTAAAGAGATGCCACTTGGGATGACTTTTGCAAAGTGTTCAAGGAAGTAGGTAAGCCCATTATTGCTCATCCATGCATTGGCTTGTACTTACATAGATGCTCCAAGCTCACACAAGTCCAACTAGCTTGTTGCTCAATTATGCTCTTAAAATATGTAGTGATTTAGAAGTTTTTGGCCATTCGTAGCAACAGCACAAATGATTATTATCCTTTGATGTTCATTTGGAATGACACTAAAAATTGTACAAGCTTGTTTATATAAGTAACCAAAGGGAATGACTTGAATATAAAAAAAAAGGGCTCATAAATAATAATGCACCATTTTTTCCAATCAATTAAAGGTCTTGGGATATTTGGGGTTAAGCATTATTGAGTTTAAGTAACTTGCTTGTAAGAGAATGACTCGAGAAACAATATGTTAAGGTTTAAATATAAAAGAAAAAGGGTTTATAAATAAAAATACACCCCCTTTTTCAATCAGTTAAAAGTTTTAAGATATTTAAACAATTTTGAGTTTAAGTAATACTAAACTCCTAAGAAGTCCAAATTTAAAACTTGAGAGATGATCCGTTAAGGTTTAAATATAAAGGGAAAAGGCCATGAATAATAATGCACTTCCTTTTCCAATTAATTAAGGGTTTTGGAATATTTGGGGTATTGAGTTTGAGTAATATTATTCCAAAAAGTTCAAATTTAAAAGATTGCAACTTCTTGAATACCATATAACAGCCTTACTAGATCAAGTGTAAAATAAGGATTTTATTTAGGGTGATTTTAGTTAATTTTTGTTTCTTCTATAAATCTTTGTTGGGTTTTGTTAAGTACACCAAGAAACATTTAAGGGTTTCTAGCTCATTCAATTAAGGTTTGAAGTGATCTAAACTCTAGAACTATAAAAACAATTGAATGTGACTAATAAAATTGGTTGGTGCCACATCAAATTGTTGGATGCCCGATTGGATTACACTCTATGGCATTTGTAAAAACTTGATATTAATCAAGACTACAGTTCTCATCTTAGTTTTTTTATTTGTCTTCCAGTAGTTGTAATATTACCTTTTTGTCACAATTTTGCAAAAAGTTTAATTCTTATGATTCTAATATTGCATATAATTCCAATATTTTTAAAAATTGGTACCTGGCTCTATTTCCACATAGTCATAGATCTAATCAATGTTTTGTGCTTAATTGCAAGGTTTACAATATTGTTCTATGTTTAAGATTTTATTATACTCTTTGGTTCGCTTAAGCAAAACTTGTAGGTATATCTCAAATATACTTAGATATTCTAGGATATTCTACCATCTAACAGTTTTTATTTATTTAGATTAATCTTGTATTTAAAATTTATAAATTTTCGTAAACACTTTCTAGTATATTCTTATTTATTTTATGGTTGATATGCAATAATATTAATATTTATTTATAAATTATAAACATGTTTATAATTATCAATTAATTGAATTATTCAAAAATACTAAATAAGAATGACACTACTATTAAGCAAACCAAGTGTTACTGTATGCAACACATAACAAATTATTTTTCTAACTTTTGTGGTTGCATATATGTAATTAGTGTTTAATGCTAATATTTTCAATTAATATAACTCTATTTAAGCTAAATACACCAAGAATACACCTATATTGTCTCATAAACAATGTCAGATTAGCATCCAAACCCACATCATATTAACATGAAAAGTATTTTTCTTAAATAAAAACTTCTTTAGAGATTGAGTTGGAGTTTCATTGTATTTTATCTTATAAGTTACTTTCTGTTTGTGTTTGAACAAATTTAATTAATATGAATTCTTAATTAAAACCAATAATATAAATTTCTAATAGATTTGTTATTTAATTTATTTACATTATTTAATCATGTTCAATTGTGTTATATATATAATAGCTTTTGGTAGTTTTTATACATGTAAATATGTTAAGAACTTTACTTACAATATCCCAAGGTACATCTGTGATATTTAATTAACAAGAATTGTTTTGATCTATATTTAGTTTTTTATTATAGGTTTAAATGTAAATATTTAATATTCTAGAAAAATTATTTGTTTAAATTTAATTTGAGTTTTTATTAGCTAGAGAAATACTATTTTCTATATAGATGTAAATATACCTAGGATATTCTTAAATATTTTAGAATTTCTAATTATTTAACTTCGCATTAACATAAGAGACAACAATATCATAGCTGAACTATCTATTATATGTTTTCATTGGGGAGTCTGGTCATGGGAAGAAGAGGCATAACATGGTGTTTACAATCCAAGAACTTTTCAATTCTTCTCTAGTTTTCTTCATGTAAACTTCTTAAATTGATCAACATATGGTTTAAAATTTAGAAAATTCTCAGCAACAATCCCTTTTATAGACAAATTTGGAGCTGAAAATGGTGAATTATATCTTGATTAGGTCGTGATAGATATAACGTTGTGCGGTTTGTCCTAGGGCGCGAACGAGAAAACGAGTGTTAAGTGTGGGAGAGCAAGGAGAAGCGCGAGAAGGCTCGATGCTGGGTGAGTGCCCTCTTTCCTTCCTCCCCAATTGCCCTCTTTTTCTCCCCTCATGGCTGCGATTTTTTGTTGTGAGGCAGGAAATGAGAACGTCGTTGTTACTCCACGTCGAGTCATGATCGATGAGCGTGCGACAAGAGCTGTAGAGCACAAGCTCGTTCGGCTTGCCTTGCTCACCGGCGAGGAGGAAAATCAAGAGCTCTACAGCCCAAGTGACTTGATCATCGGAACAGCTCCCAACGCTGAGGCTTTCTCCAGGTGAGCAACCAAGAATGCTTCTAACCTGGATGCTTCTAATGTCGATGCTTTCAGGTGGGCATCAGGAAACAGGAAGTTCCTTTGTGATTTCATCTGAGGAAAGATCATTGCAAGGGAACTTCCGTATGACCCCATGGACAAGCTCAATTAAAAGTGGGAGTTGCTTTTGATGCATAAGCAGGTGGATTGCTAGTGGTGGTAACAGCTATTAGCTACAAGTTAAATTTCAGGGGGACTTTTACAAGTTCAACGTGATAGTGCAAGTTTGTGGCTAAAGTTCTATTATTCCTTTTGGTATCGCAACTTTGAGTACCTACAGCACTTTTGTCATCAAGATCGCAACATCCCAGACGCCCAAGAATCTTCATGAGCAAGCTGCAATCTTCTTTGGACCAAACTATCCTTGCTGCAAGCTCTATATTGGTCTCAAAAGGTTCAGTGAAAGAGCTAATGGAACTATTGGTATGTTGGCTTCGATCTATGAAAGGCTAGGAGCTGGCGGAGGGGCAGGCAGAGTTGGAGCTGGAGCAGTGGGAGGGGGATCAATGCCCATCTGGCTTGTCTCGTTTGGGACTTGCCCTTTGGGCTCAAATGCAACCTGGAAAAATTCAGAGATTCTCACAGGGGTTGGATATGGTGGTTTCATTTTGAATGGTCCTAGACTTGCATCTTATACTCTGCATTTCCCAGCTTCACAAGTTTTCATGACGTTTGTTCCTACTAGAAGTGGAGCGGTGAGAGTTGCACCAGCTGGTGCACCTGTAAATTATGAGTTGGATCTTTACTATATCCAACAAGCTTTTTTATGCCCTTTTGAACCCACGTATTAAAATCTATACACCTTGAGTTATAATCTAGCTTCTGATGAGTAATACGAAAAGAGTTTACCTTAACATGTATTCTATATTAAATGCTGATAATTTGGATCTTTATTTGTTCTCTCTTGGATGTTGTCCAGGTTTTGTGAGAAGCGACAAAAAGAAAACACATGGGGAGCGAGCGAGTTTTCCACTAATACACAGACGGCTAGCCTGTCAGTGCAGCTCACGCCCATGACAAGGAAGGTAAACTGTGTTGGCCAAACCATTCCTCAAAATAAAAGCACATAAGAGGAGAAGTTTTCTGGCTCCAGCTCCATGAGCTTCTCCACAGCCATTCTCCCACGCCTCACATCGTCGTGCATTTTGGATGCGCCCAACATGATGGTCCATGGAATAGGATTCACAGTCGATGACGAACAAACCAGAAAACCTGTAGTTTCTTCGACCATACTCAAGAGGCCGCATTTTCCCGATCCACCACGCAAAACGTGTTTGCCAGTCCGAACGATGCCAAAGTCCTGCGTTGCATATGTGTAGCAGTTCCAAGAATCCTGAAGCCTTCCATCGACGCTGCAAGCCGAGAGGATTGCGAGAAGCGTCACACTGTCCGGAGAGAAACCATTCAAAACCATCGCACGAAACGTTTCTCTGGCCATACAACCGTGACCCCGGTGAGAATATCCGGATATCAGAGAGTTCCATGACACGGAATCTCTCTCGTCCATGGACTGGAAGATATTATCAGTCATCTCTACAAATCCAGCGCTAGCATACGCACCCAAGATTGCGTTCCAAGAGATTACATTGCGATGTGGCATCCGGTCAAACATAAATCTTGCATAATCCAAATGCCCATTTGAGGAAAATGCTGCGACTATTGTATTCCACGATAAAACACACTGTTGCGGCGTTAAATCGAATATTTTCTTTGCGTCAACTAATCTTCCAAGATGTGCGTAAGCAGCAGTAATGGTGCTCCACGACACCAAATCTCTCTGCGGCATCCTGTCGAAGAGAAAGCTCACAACTGGAGCTCCCGCTCATGGGAGTAGGCCGTAATCATCGTGTTCCAGGCGATTACGTCTCTCTCGGGCGCGATCTCAAAGAAGCTGCGAGCGAGGCCCAACTCGCCGTCGTGGACGAGCGATCCGAGCATGGCGTTCCACGGAACGACACTCCACTGCGGCATTCTCTCGAAGAACAATTGCGCGAGGCGGGAATCGCCCTCCTTTCGGGCATAAGCGCTCACCATCGTCGTCCACGACACGACGTTCCTGCGATCCATTGCCTCGAACAGCGCCCTGGCCTGCCGGATGTCGCCGTTTTCCACTCTGCCATGGATCATCAAATTCCACGAGAAGACGTTCTTTGCGTGGATCTCGTCAAAAGCTTCCCGGGATTCCTGCAAATGCCCACACTGGGCATACATTTGGACGAGATGGTTCGCGAGGTACGTGTTGGTGGTGGATGGATCGCCTTGTGAGTCGAGGAGCTCACGGTGAATCCTCCTCCCCTTTCTCACGTCTCTTCCGATGCCACACTGCCTCAATCTCGATGCGTAGCTCTCCACGATGGAGTGCTTGGAAGTGGCAGTGGACTTGAGGCATTGCTTGAGCACTCTCTTCATCCATGGACGCAAATACGAAAATAGGTTCTAACCACTATTTTCCTCTATGAATCAAAGTTGACGAAAGTCAACGGAATGTGAAAATCAAGTCTATGACCAAATTGAAATCGCCCTGGCATATCTCGTTCCGTGATGATTCTACAAAGTTTTGGCCAGCCGCTGCATAGCTCGAAAGTGAAGCGACGTCGATGGCATGACAAGGGGCCAGTCCTTCTCCGGAATACCCTCAATGTCGTTACCCCAAGCTGCAAGTGTCCTATACTGCAGGAGGTCATACTCGATGAGACTGTTCACCTTGCCCACGGAAAGCTTGTTGCAGAGCGTCATGTAGGGCGTAATACCGTCCTTGTGTTTCACCAAGGTGGACACTACGGCCTTCCAATCGTCCTTGGTCCAGCACGGCTTGCTAGGCTTGTTGGCAGGGACGGCCTCTGGAAAGCAAGCAAGCCGGACCTTCAAACAGCAGCTTGACAGAAGCGAGGCCTTCACAGCGTCCCATGACTCAATGCTCCCAGCAGCTCTGGCTAGTAAGCCCATCCGTCCACCCATATGGCTGTATATGTCCTTCCACAACTCGTCGGACACTCCATCAGAACCCGTCGGTAGGAGCGTCTCAAAGAACTGGCGAGCTTCCGCTTCATTCAAATCGCCTACGTTTAAAGTGTCCGCTCGGAGGCTGCCTATGTAGCCCGCAAGCCAAGTCCCAAAGAAGTTCTCCGAGGATGCCAGCACCACATTCATGATGTGCTCCTGCTTCGTCACCATCACAAAGAAAGCGAGCAGCTGGTCGAGCTCTTTCTTGGTCCCTGGATCTGTGGTCCAAGTGCACAACCAGTTGGCCTCATCCAGAACGATCGTCGGATAGACCTTAGCATACTCCCCGCCACCTTTCAGAACCAGGCTATCACAAGAGACACCGTAGGACTTGATAGCTGCAAGGACTGTGTCCATGTCGTCTGCCTTGTCCATCTGGTCCTTAACAACACTCCAGCTGTCCACCTGAGAGGCCCTGACGGAAGGTAAAAAGCTGGACTTGAACATTCGGGCAACGCCCCTCGGAGAAATCGAGCCGCGCATGTCAGCGAAGGAGGACACTCCGGGATACTCACCCTCACCTTGCCTCCGCAGGAATTCCCTCAGAAGGGCACTCTTCCCCGAATCCTTCGGTCCACTCACCACAACTAAGTTGCCTCCCGAAACCGAGTCACCTACAGCGGCCACAAGGCGCCCATTCAGCGCCGCGAGCTCGTTTTCCCTGGCGAAAACTGTCCGCCCCTGATTGAAGTTCGCCACGCTCGAGGAGAAGCGCCTCAGCATCTTCGAAGCCATAGCTATACACTGCAAGGGTTTAGTAGGCGTGGAGCCTCGTGCATAAATATAGCTATTTACACTGCAAGGGCTTCCCTTTTAGTAGGCGTCTTTCTTCCACGCCTCGCATCGTCGTGCACCGTCCATGGAATAGGATTCACCGACGACGAAGAAACATCTATAGTCTCTTCGACCATACCCAAGAGCGCACATTTTCCCATGAGTATTTGCCAGTCCGAACGACGCTCTATACTTCGATGTTCCTCGCAGATCACGAAGAACAAACTTGGCGAAGAAACCGGCGGCTGGGTCGGCGACCAAAGTTCTCCGTTGCATATGCGTAACAGTTCCACGAGTCTTGAAGCCTTCCATCGAGGGTGCAAGCCGAGGGGATTATGAGACTGTCCGGAATTCAAAACCATCGCACGAAACGTCTCCCTGGTATCAGAGAGTTCGACGACACGGATTCTCTCTAGTCCATGGACTGGAAGATGTTCTCCGCAACATCAACGCTAGCAAAGGCATCGAAGATTGCGTTCCGAGAGATTACATTGCGATGTGGCATATGATGAAAAGTAAAGCTTGCATAATCTAGAGTTTAAGGCAAATGCTGTGACTATTGTGTTCTAGGATAAAACATACTGTTGCGGCGTTGAATCAAAGATTTTCTTGGCGTCAACTAATCTTCCAAGATGTGCGTAAGCCGCAGTAATTGACGACACCAAATCTCTCTGTGGCATCCTGTCGAAGAGAAAGCTCGGGATCTAAAGCTCCCGCTCATGGGAGTAGGCCGTAATCATCGTGTTCCAGGCGATCACGTCTCTCTTGGGCGCGATCTCAAAGAACCTGAGAGCGAGGCCCAACTCGACGTCGTGGACGAGCGATCCGCGCATGGTGTTCCACCACTGCGGCATTCTCTCCAAGAACAATCGCGCGCAAGGAGGGAATCGCCCTCCTTTCGGGCATAGCACTCCACGACATGACGTTCCTGCGAGCCGGTTGCCTGGGACAGTGCCCTGGCCTGCCGGATGTTGCCGTTTTTCACGCTGCCATGGATCATCACATTCCACGAGAAGACGTTCTTGGCGTGGACATACATTTGGACGAGACGGTTGGCGAGGTACGTGTTGATGGTGGATGGATCGCCTTGCGAGCCGAGGTGGATCCTCCTCCCTCTTATTTTTAAACACACCTAAAATCACGTCTCTCACGTCACGCATTGCCTCGATCACGATGCGTATCCCTCCACGATGGAGTCTTTGGAAGTGGCAGTGGACTTGAGGCATTGGTTTGCCACAGTGTTTCCTCAAAGGGGTGCAAGGATTTCTCGATAATGTGGAAAAGAAAAGAAAAGCCCAGCCTTGGACAACTCAGATCTTCTTCTAAATCAAGAAAAGTTACATCTGGAAAGTGAAAGCTCACACGACAATGAAGTTTTTTATTCTTCCTTGCAAGATTCAAAGACAATTCTTTTGAGTTCAAAACTCTTGGAATTTCACGAACACACACAAACCAGTTATCATGGATGTGATGATCAAACTTTATGTCATTTCCGATCCAAAGTCAGCATTTATACTAACATAAAAAGTATTTTGCTTAGATAAAAACATCTTAAATAGAGGAGTAGAGATTGAGTTGGTCTTATAAGTCTATTTTTGAACAAATTTAATTAATATGAATACTTAATTAAAACCAATAATATAAATTTCTCTTGTGAGTGGATGGAATATGGAAAGGGAATACAAAAAATATGCATATCACTTAGCCCAAAAACCTTAGTTTATATATAGAAATAAGTGGTTTAGATTGAAATCAATCCAATGGTTACTAAAATCCCATTATACTAATATTAGTATATGGCATCGTAGCTGTACACTTGGCCCTTATATCATTCCCTCCTCTCGGAATAATAGAAGATCATTAGGGTTCTTTTATAGATGGGCTGGGATCTAGAAGAACGTTAAGAGGAGGCATTAGCGGATCTATAGGTGGTATTAACTACTCTTGATCCCTTTGTATGAAGTGTTTTAACTGCTGCACATGCACAATCTCTAGAGGATCGGCCTACTGGACGTCATGCCAAACTTCATAAACTTGTGGTCCAACTTGCCACAATACCCGATATAGTCCTTTCTATTGAGCAAGAAGCCCCTTAGATAAACCACGTATCATAAAATGAGGAAAACAGACTAACACCAAGTCATCTACTTTGTACTCCACAAGTGGATGATGACAGGATTTGTAGCACTGTTATTGTCCCACTTGCATACGGCCTAAGTGTTCGGTAGACTCTTCTCGGACAAGTGGAATAATGCTCGTCAAATACTAATCCCACGACCTAGCATTGGCAGCTCATGGCAATTACAAAGGTAAACCCAGCTCTATTGGTAATATTGGATTATGACCATATAGGAGTTTATATGGTGAAGCACCAATAAAACTCTGCACCCTTGTAACATATGCATACTGAAGAGACAACAAATAACCATCCCAATCCAAATGTTGAAAGTTCACATACTTTGCAATCATCCATTTGAACGTCTGAATAAGTCGTTCCACCAGACTGTCTGATTGTGGATGATAAGCACTTGTGAAAGTGTTGCGTATCTCCAACCAAAATGTCAAAACATGAAATGCCTTAGTCATAAATATGGGACCATTATCCGAAAAATTCTGCTCTAGACAAGAATGCTGGAACACCACTTGATTGAGTAGGAAGTATCCAATAGCAATTGTAGAGGCACTAGCAAAAGCATCAACTTCCATCCAACAAGTCAAGTAGTCAGAAGCAATAATAACATACTCATTGCTAACAGTCGACCGTGGAAAAGGTCTCATAAGATCAAACGCCACCAACTCAAATGGACGAAAAACTACACTTGACTCCAACCGTCCTTCTGCAGCATGAGGGGGAGTATTACGAACTTGACACCAAACGTAGCTACACATATACTAGATAATATCATGTCACATCTTTGGCCAATAGAAAGACTTGCGCAACTTCTCAGTTACATGACAATGTCCTATATGCCCACCTAGAATAGGAGAATCATGGTAGGCATGGAGAAACCATGGAATAAAGACAAAAGGCACCACCAGCTGTAAATGATCATCAAGATCTGTCCCCACAAAATAAAGAATGCCGTTTTTAAAGTGATATAAATGCCGGAAAGGCAAGTCATCAGCAAGTGATGTAGGATTCTTAAACCCATCTCGAAGCCTTCGAATCCACGGCTCAATCTTTTGAGCCTTGTGAACTTCATCAAGAGAAGATAGATCTTGTTTTGCACCTTGTGGACACTGAATGTCAAGTACAGCAATTGTTGACGCAACAGAATCCTCGTTTAGAAAATCCACAAATGCTGGAACAACAGACTCATTAAAAACATGAGAGGAGATTGGAGAAGAAAGAGGAGCTCGAGAAAGGGTATCAGCATTAGCCATAGAACTCCTTGGGCGATGAACAACATCAAAATCATATATCTGAAGCTTCAAAGCCCACTAAGCAATATGACCAACTAGGTTCTTTCGTTTCAATAATGAAGTAACGGTAGCATGGTCACCTTCAAGTAACGTCTGAGAACTATGTAGATATATATGAAGTTTCTCGAAACCCCAGACTATTGCTAAACACTTATTCTCTATTGTGGAGTATTTTACCTCCACTGGTTGTAATATATGGCTTATATATATAATAGGATAGCGCTAACCAAGCACACTCAAGTGTAAGACACAAAATCCCTAGGCCCCAAAGTGGAGCCAAAAGGGTGTCATGTGGTAGTGACCGAAGCAAAAGCCAAACGAGTGTAACACGTTTGGACTAAAAGCTCCGACTCGAAAGGTTGAGAGCGGGAGTGGAACTCCCAACAAAGTGCTCGAAGAATGAGCACGAAGCGAGCAATAAGCAAGGCTCTAAAAAGGGACCCAAAAAGGACCAACACATGACACGTGGAGGAGTCTGAGATGGACCGAGACGGAGTCCGAGATGGAGTCTGAGAAGGAGTCCGAGATGGAGTCCGAGAAGGAGTTCGAGATGGAGTTCGAGATGGAGTCTGAGATGGAGTCCGAGGTGGAGTCTAAGATGGACCGAAACGGAGCCCAAGATGGAGTTTGAGATGGACCGAGAAGGAGTCCGAGATGGAGTCCGAAATGGAGTCCGAGATGGACCTGAGATGGAGTCCGAGATGGACCCAAGATGGAGTCCGAGAAGGACCCGAGATGGAGTCCGAGGTCGAGACCGAGACCGAGACCGGGACCAGGACCGAGACCAGGACCGAGACTGAGACCGAGATCGGGACCAAGACCGAGACCGAGACCGAGACCGAGATCGGGACCGAGACCGAGATCGGGACGGAGACCGAGACTGAGGCCAAGGCCGAGACTGAACCCAAGCCCGAGTCCGAGTTCAGGTCCGAGTCCGAGTCCGAGTTCGAGTTCAAGTCCGAGTTCGAGTCCGAGAGGGTGAAAGCCCAAAGCGTTCGTCTCCCAGACCCTGGGGGGTTTGGTGAGCTCTAAAAGTATAGTAGGGGGAGGATTGTAGTGGAGCCAGTTTGGCCAGGAAAGGCCAGTTTGGCTAGGAAGGCTATACCCAGTGTTGGGTGATGAGCTACCCACTGGGAAGTTCAAGACTAGAGTGAACATGGACCGACAAGTGGGGTAGCTTGGTGAAGTGTTCAAGAGCCAGCTCTAGTTCCCCCGGAAGATCGACTGGCCGATGCTCCCAGTTCAAGTGTGGGTGGCACTACCTACTTGGATACCAAGTGTGGCTTAACGGAACCTCACTCTAAGCCCACGGCTAGAGCACCTAAAGGCAGAAGGTGGGGAGAGTACCCATGAAGGCCGTGTAGGGCCACGGTATTCCAAAATATTGTCCCAAAGTCTCAGACTGTGGAAAGGAAGAAGAGTAGCCCTGTGGTGTGGTGACCAAGGACACAGTCACACAATGAGGAAGTCCTAGAGGACAGTGAGACTTAGTGGTCAGGCTCATGGGCCTTGATCTAGTGGCAGTGTTGGCGAACATGGCCCAGGACAGAAAGGGACTTGGTGGGGACCAGAAAGGGGATATTGGGGAAGACTATTCCCCATGTCTAGAGGCATCCTAAGGATGTTAAGGAGTGGATCTAGGATGATCACTCATGGATGGATGGCCCAGCCTTTGAGAGACGAAACTGTGATGTAGGTGGTGTTAGACCACCAATGTGACCAAGGTGAATATGCATGGCCTTAGCGTAACGGGCCGATATGACGGTGGTACCTTGGGGTGTCAATCATGGGTTTGGACACGTGAAGCACTTGGACCAAGTGCAAAGGTTGAGTGGCGGGGATGCCATTCTCGGGGCTAGCAAGCCCAAGTCCGAAATAGGACTTATGAAGGTTGTGAGTGAGACTCCTCCAAGTGGTTGGAGGTGTGGTTAAGTGATTAAAGTAGAATGGAAAATTTATTCACTTACATTAGGCTCTTTTGTATCAATACACCTCCAAGACCAATATCAAAAACATCCACGCGCAAAATAAAAGGTTAAGTGTAATCAAGATATGCCAAAACTTGAGGAGTCATCAATAGCTCTTTGAGATCCACGAATGCCTGCTCACAATCTAAAGACCAGATGAAAGATGATGTTGATGACTTCAACAACACTCGCAATGGTGTAGTGCGATAAAAAAGATGGTCCACAAAACGACTGAGATACTACACCTTACCCAAAAAGTGTTGCACATCATTCACACACTTTGGAGTAGGGAACTTTAAAACAGCCACAAGTTTGTTAGGATTAACTTGCAAACCCTCACGAGAAATACGATACCCAAGATAAGTTGTGTCCTTGGACCCAAACACGAACTTCGACCACTTCAACTTTAAACCAATGTCCCGTAGCCGATTCAACATTTTACAAACATCATGAACATGCTCCTCCCATGTCCCCTCCGAGTGGATCAAGACATCATTAATGAAGTCAGCAGTCACCTCCGGCATATCATAAAGAACCTCGTCCATCATCCACTGAAAAGTCGCTGAAGCATTGTTCAAACCAAACGGCATCACCAAGAACAATAGCAACATCAACCTCCATTGGAACAGGACCATCACCCATAGGAAGTGGAACTGAAAGATATGCAGTAAGAAGTGGAAAAAGCAACATTTCATAACGTTGTGCCAAGTGAAGAGCATTGTCAAGGTTGGTGAGAGTAAGTGCATGCACAAGTCCAACAAAATATTGATGAAGTGCTGCCCACAACACTCCTAGCTTGATCCGCTCTAATATATTTAGCTCCACACGAAGCAATATGTTCTGAAAATGAACGCCAAATTGCATCACTGACTTAGATGGCCCTTGACGGAGACGATGCAATTGCTAGAAGGCATCAACACAATCGTCGACATGTCCAAATGCACGTTTGAAGATGTCTGGAAGAACACTCCAATCCCCACGAGTGGCTACACTCAAACCATTGTACCACTGTGGCAATCACCATGAAGTGATCAAACCAATGGTACATGTCATCCCCAGGATTCTTGCAAAAGAACTCCAGCCGAATAAGAGGATTGGCACCAAGAGTAGGAGGAGTTATACCACGTGCCGTGAATGCAACTATTAACTAAGTTTGGTTGTTCAATTGCAAGCACATAGCATCAAGCAATTGTACCAACTGTTACTCTAGAATCAAAGGAGGAGATTGCTGATTTGCTATGAAAATGAAGGAAAAGGAAGAGCAAAAGAAGAGAAATGACAAAAATCTAGAAGGAAAGGGAGATCTAGACAATGTAAAAAGTTAGATCTAAACCAAAATTTTAAAAGGAAAGAACAAAAGAAAGGAAATTGAAAAAACTAAATTTAGACAGTGCAAAAGCTATATTTAAACTAAAATCCTAAATCCAAACACTCCTCAGGGACAATGAAAAGTGCCCCTCACCTCCACCAATATGAGTGCATAGAATATGGAAAGGGAATATAAAAAATATGCATATCACTTAGTTTATATATAGGAGCAAATGGTTCGAATTGAAACCAATCTGACAGCTATTAAAATCCCACTATGCTAATATTAGTATATGGCATCATAGTTGTACACTTGCCCTCACACTCCTAAATTTGTTATTCAAATTTTTAACATTATTTTAATCATGTTCAATTGTGATATATATATATAGCTTTTGGTAGTTTTTATACATGTAAATATGTTAAGAACTTTACTTGCAATATCCCAAGGTACATATGCGATTTTTAATTAACATGAATTAATTTGATCTATATTTATTTTTTATTATAGGTTTAAAGGAAAATATTTAATATTCTATAAACATTATTTGTTTAAATTTAATTTAAGTTTTTATTAGCTAAAGAAACACTAATTATTATATAGATGTGGATATACCTCGGATATTCATAAATATTCTAGAATTTCTACTTATTTAACTTTGGATTAACATCCTTATTGCTTCAAAATTCTAAGGGTAAACTCTCCATCAATAATTTGAAATATGGTTGTTATCAAGAGACAAATGCAAAAACAAAATCATAGCTGAACTATTTACTATACATTTTCATTGGGGAGTCTGGTAATGGGAAGAAAAGGCATATCATGGTGTTTACAATCCAAGAACTTTTCAATTCTTCTCTAGTTTTCTTCATGTAAACTTCTTAAATTGATCAACATATGATACCAAGGTTTAAAATTTAGAAAATTCTTGGCAACAATCCCTTTTATAGAATCACCACAAATTTGGAGCTGGTAACATTGTGTTTTCTTTTTGTCACTTCTCACGAAACCTGGACAACATCCAAGAGAGAACAAATAAAGATCCAAATCATCAGCATTTAATATGAAACACATGCTAAGGTAAACTCTTTTTGTATCACTCATAAAAAGGAAATACAAGTAGATTGCATAGATTTCAATACATGGGTTCAAAAAGGCATGAAAAAGCCTGTTGGATATAATAAAGATCTAACTCGTAGTTCACAAGTGCACCAGCTGGTGGAACTCCCACTGCTCCACCTTCAAGAGGAACAAGTGTCTTAAAAACCTGTGGAGCTGGGAAGCATAAGGTATAGGATGCAAGTCCTGGACCATTCAAAACAAGGCCACCATATCCAACCCCTGTGAGAATTGGAGAATTTCTCCAGATTGCATTTGGGCCCAAAGGGCAAATCCCAAATGAAACAAGCTGAATGGGCCTTCCACCCCGTGCTCTAGCTCCAGCTCTGCCCCTGCCATAGACCAAAGCCAACATAGTGATAGTTCCATTAGCTCTCTTGTTGAACCTTTTGAGACCGATATAGAGCTTGTAGCGAGGATAGTTTGGTCCAAGGAAGATCACAGCTCACTCATGAAGATTCTTAGGCATCTAGGATGTTGCAATCTCGATGACAATAGCTCTGTAGGTTCTCAAAGCCGTAACATCGAGAAGAAGAATAAAACTTTGGCCACGGACTAGCATTGTTATATCGAGCTTGTAAAAGTCCCCCCCGAAATCTGGCTTGTAGCTAAGAACTATCGTCACCATGAACAATCCACCTACTTGTGCATCAAAAGCAGCTCCCACCTTTAACTGAGCTTGCCCATAGGGGTTATATAGAAGTTCCCTTGCTATGATCTTTCCTCACATGAAATCACAGAGGAACTTCCTGTTTCCCAATGCCCACCTGAAACCATTGACGTTAGAAGCATCCAGGTTAGAAGCATTCTTGGTTGCTCACCTGGAGAAAGATTTGGCATTGGGAGCTGTTCTGATGATCAAGTCGCTTGGGCTGTAGAGCTCTTGATTTTCCTCCTCGCCTGTGAGCAAGGCAAACAAGCTTCTGCTCAACAGCTCTTGTTGTGCGCTCATCGATCATGACTTGACGTGGAGTAACGACGACGCTCTCATTTCATGCCTCACAACAAAAAATCACAGCCATGAGGGGAGAAAAAGAGGGCAATCGGGGAGGAAGGAAAGAGGGCACTCACCCAGCATCGAGCCTTCTCGTGCTTCTCCTTGCTCTCCCATGCTTAACAGTTGTTTTCTCGTTCACGCCCTACATTATATTTATCATGACCAAATGTGAAATGCAATCAAGATATAATTCACCAGAACGAACTCTTTCCAATTTGTGTGTGGATTTATAGATGAAATACACAGATGGCTAGCTTAAGGTAAACTGTTGAGAGAAAGTTGGCCAAACCATTCCTCAAAATAAAAGCACATAAGAGGAGAAGTTTTCCGGCTCCAGCTCCATGAGCTTCTCCACGGCCATTCTCCCACGCCTCGCATCGTCGTGCATTTTGGATGCGCCCAACATGACAGTCCATGGAATAGGATTCACAGTCGATGACGAAGAAACCAGAAAATCAGTAGTTTCTTCCACCATACTCAAGAGGCCGCATTTTCCCATGAGATCCACCACGCAAAACAAGTGTTCGCCAGTCTGAACGATGCCAAAGTCCTGCGTTGCATATGTGTAGCAGTTCCAAGAGTCCTGAAGCCTTCCATCGACGCTGCAAGCTGAGAGGATTGCGAGAAGCGTCACACTGTCCGGAGAGAAACCATTCAAAACCATCGCACGAAACGTTTCTCTGGCCATACAACCGTGACCCCGGTGAGAATATCCGGATATCAGAGAGTTCCATGACACGGAATCTCTCTCGTCCATGGACTGGAAGATATTATCAGTCATCTCTACAAATCCAGCGCTAGCATACGCACCCAAGATTGCGTTCCAAGAGATTACATTGCGATGTGGCATCCGGTCAAACATAAATCTTGCATAATCCAAATGCCCATTTGAGGAAAATGCTGCGACTATTGTATTCCACGATAAAACACACTGTTGCGGCGTTAAATCGAATATTTTCTTTGCGTCAACTAATCTTCCAAGATGTGCGTAAGCAGCAGTAATGGTGCTCCACGACACCAAATCTCTCTGCGGCATCCTGTCGAAGAGAAAGCTCACAACTGGAGCTCCCGCTCATGGGAGTAGGCCGTAATCATCGTGTTCCAGGCGATTACGTCTCTCTCGGGCGCGATCTCAAAGAAGCTGCGAGCGAGGCCCAACTCGCCGTCGTGGACGAGCGATCCGAGCATGGCGTTCCACGGAACGACACTCCACTGCGGCATTCTCTCGAAGAACAATTGCGCGAGGCGGGAATCGCCCTCCTTTCGGGCATAAGCGCTCACCATCGTCGTCCACGACACGACGTTCCTGCGATCCATTGCCTCGAACAGCGCCCTGGCCTGCCGGATGTCGCCGTTTTCCACTCTGCCATGGATCATCAAATTCCACGAGAAGACGTTCTTTGCGTGGATCTCGTCAAAAGCTTCCCGGGATTCCTGCAAATGCCCACACTGGGCATACATTTGGACGAGATGGTTCGCGAGGTACGTGTTGGTGGTGGATGGATCGCCTTGTGAGTCGAGGAGCTCACAGTGAATCCTCCTCCCCTTTCTCACGTCTCTTCCGATGCCACACTGCCTCAATCTCGATGCGTAGCTCTCCACGATGGAGTGCTTGGAAGTGGCAGTGGACTTGAGGCATTGCTTGAGCACTCTCTTCATCCATGGACGCAAATACGAAAATAGGTTCTAACCACTATTTTCCTCTATGAATCAAAGTTGACGAAAGTCAACGGAATGTGAAAATCAAGTCTATGACCAAATTGAAATCGCCCTGGCATATCTCGTTCCGTGATGATTCTACAAAGTTTTGGCCAGCCGCTGCATAGCTCGAAAGTGAAGCGACGTCGATGGCATGACAAGGGGCCAGTCCTTCTCCGGAATACCCTCAATGTCGTTACCCCAAGCTGCAAGTGTCCTATACTGCAGGAGGTCATACTCGATGAGACTGTTCACCTTGCCCACGGAAAGCTTGTTGCAGAGCGTCATGTAGGGCGTAATACCGTCCTTGTGTTTCACCAAGGTGGACACTACGGCCTTCCAATCGTCCTTGGTCCAGCACGGCTTGCTAGGCTTGTTGGCAGGGACGGCCTCTGGAAAGCAAGCAAGCCGGACCTTCAAACAGCAGCTTGACAGAAGCGAGGCCTTCACAGCGTCCCATGACTCAATGCTCCCAGCAGCTCTGGCTAGTAAGCCCATCCGTCCACCCATATGGCTGTATATGTCCTTCCACAACTCGTCGGACACTCCATCAGAACCCGTCGGTAGGAGCGTCTCAAAGAACTGGCGAGCTTCCGCTTCATTCAAATCGCCTACGTTTAAAGTGTCCGCTCGGAGGCTGCCTATGTAGCCCGCAAGCCAAGTCCCAAAGAAGTTCTCCGAGGATGCCAGCACCACATTCATGATGTGCTCCTGCTTCGTCACCATCACAAAGAAAGCGAGCAGCTGGTCGAGCTCTTTCTTGGTCCCTGGATCTGTGGTCCAAGTGCACAACCAGTTGGCCTCATCCAGAACGATCGTCGGATAGACCTTAGCATACTCCCCGCCACCTTTCAGAACCAGGCTATCACAAGAGACACCGTAGGACTTGATAGCTGCAAGGACTGTGTCCATGTCGTCTGCCTTGTCCATCTGGTCCTTAACAACACTCCAGCTGTCCACCTGAGAGGCCCTGACGGAAGGTAAAAAGCTGGACTTGAACATTCGGGCAACGCCCCTCGGAGAAATCGAGCCGCGCATGTCAGCGAAGGAGGACACTCCGGGATACTCACCCTCACCTTGCCTCCGCAGGAATTCCCTCAGAAGGGCACTCTTCCCCGAATCCTTCGGTCCACTCACCACAACTAAGTTGCCTCCCGAAACCGAGTCACCTACAGCGGCCACAAGGCGCCCATTCAGCGCCGCGAGCTCGTTTTCCCTGGCGAAAACTGTCCGCCCCTGATTGAAGTTCGCCACGCTCGAGGAGAAGCGCCTCAGCATCTTCGAAGCCATAGCTATACACTGCAAGGGTTTAGTAGGCGTGGAGCCTCGTGCATAAATATAGCTATTTACACTGCAAGGGCTTCCCTTTTAGTAGGCGTCTTTCTTCCACGCCTCGCATCGTCGTGCACCGTCCATGGAATAGGATTCACCGACGACGAAGAAACATCTATAGTCTCTTCGACCATACCCAAGAGCGCACATTTTCCCATGAGTATTTGCCAGTCCGAACGACGCTCTATACTTCGATGTTCCTCGCAGATCACGAAGAACAAACTTGGCGAAGAAACCGGCGGCTGGGTCGGCGACCAAAGTTCTCCGTTGCATATGCGTAACAGTTCCACGAGTCTTGAAGCCTTCCATCGAGGGTGCAAGCCGAGGGGATTATGAGACTGTCCGGAATTCAAAACCATCGCACGAAACGTCTCCCTGGTATCAGAGAGTTCGACGACACGGATTCTCTCTAGTCCATGGACTGGAAGATGTTCTCCGCAACATCAACGCTAGCAAAGGCATCGAAGATTGCGTTCCGAGAGATTACATTGCGATGTGGCATATGATGAAAAGTAAAGCTTGCATAATCTAGAGTTTAAGGCAAATGCTGTGACTATTGTGTTCTAGGATAAAACATACTGTTGCGGCGTTGAATCAAAGATTTTCTTGGCGTCAACTAATCTTCCAAGATGTGCGTAAGCCGCAGTAATTGACGACACCAAATCTCTCTGTGGCATCCTGTCGAAGAGAAAGCTCGGGATCTAAAGCTCCCGCTCATGGGAGTAGGCCGTAATCATCGTGTTCCAGGCGATCACGTCTCTCTTGGGCGCGATCTCAAAGAACCTGAGAGCGAGGCCCAACTCGACGTCGTGGACGAGCGATCCGCGCATGGTGTTCCACCACTGCGGCATTCTCTCCAAGAACAATCGCGCGCAAGGAGGGAATCGCCCTCCTTTCGGGCATAGCACTCCACGACATGACGTTCCTGCGAGCCGGTTGCCTGGGACAGTGCCCTGGCCTGCCGGATGTTGCCGTTTTTCACGCTGCCATGGATCATCACATTCCACGAGAAGACGTTCTTGGCGTGGACATACATTTGGACGAGACGGTTGGCGAGGTACGTGTTGATGGTGGATGGATCGCCTTGCGAGCCGAGGTGGATCCTCCTCCCTCTTATTTTTAAACACACCTAAAATCACGTCTCTCACGTCACGCATTGCCTCGATCACGATGCGTATCCCTCCACGATGGAGTCTTTGGAAGTGGCAGTGGACTTGAGGCATTGGTTTGCCACAGTGTTTCCTCAAAGGGGTGCAAGGATTTCTCGATAATGTGGAAAAGAAAAGAAAAGCCCAGCCTTGGACAACTCAGATCTTCTTCTAAATCAAGAAAAGTTACATCTGGAAAGTGAAAGCTCACACGACAATGAAGTTTTTTATTCTTCCTTGCAAGATTCAAAGACAATTCTTTTGAGTTCAAAACTCTTGGAATTTCACGAACACACACAAACCAGTTATCATGGATGTGATGATCAAACTTTATGTCATTTCCGATCCAAAGTCAGCATTTATACTAACATAAAAAGTATTTTGCTTAGATAAAAACATCTTAAATAGAGGAGTAGAGATTGAGTTGGTCTTATAAGTCTATTTTTGAACAAATTTAATTAATATGAATACTTAATTAAAACCAATAATATAAATTTCTCTTGTGAGTGGATGGAATATGGAAAGGGAATACAAAAAATATGCATATCACTTAGCCCAAAAACCTTAGTTTATATATAGAAATAAGTGGTTTAGATTGAAATCAATCCAATGGTTACTAAAATCCCATTATACTAATATTAGTATATGGCATCGTAGCTGTACACTTGGCCCTTATATCATTCCCTCCTCTCGGAATAATAGAAGATCATTAGGGTTCTTTTATAGATGGGCTGGGATCTAGAAGAACGTTAAGAGGAGGCATTAGCGGATCTATAGGTGGTATTAACTACTCTTGATCCCTTTGTATGAAGTGTTTTAACTGCTGCACATGCACAATCTCTAGAGGATCGGCCTACTGGACGTCATGCCAAACTTCATAAACTTGTGGTCCAACTTGCCACAATACCCGATATAGTCCTTTCTATTGAGCAAGAAGCCCCTTAGATAAACCACGTATCATAAAATGAGGAAAACAGACTAACACCAAGTCATCTACTTTGTACTCCACAAGTGGATGATGACAGGATTTGTAGCACTGTTATTGTCCCACTTGCATACGGCCTAAGTGTTCGGTAGACTCTTCTCGGACAAGTGGAATAATGCTCGTCAAATACTAATCCCACGACCTAGCATTGGCAGCTCATGGCAATTACAAAGGTAAACCCAGCTCTATTGGTAATATTGGATTATGACCATATAGGAGTTTATATGGTGAAGCACCAATAAAACTCTGCACCCTTGTAACATATGCATACTGAAGAGACAACAAATAACCATCCCAATCCAAATGTTGAAAGTTCACATACTTTGCAATCATCCATTTGAACGTCTGAATAAGTCGTTCCACCAGACTGTCTGATTGTGGATGATAAGCACTTGTGAAAGTGTTGCGTATCTCCAACCAAAATGTCAAAACATGAAATGCCTTAGTCATAAATATGGGACCATTATCCGAAAAATTCTGCTCTAGACAAGAATGCTGGAACACCACTTGATTGAGTAGGAAGTATCCAATAGCAATTGTAGAGGCACTAGCAAAAGCATCAACTTCCATCCAACAAGTCAAGTAGTCAGAAGCAATAATAACATACTCATTGCTAACAGTCGACCGTGGAAAAGGTCTCATAAGATCAAACGCCACCAACTCAAATGGACGAAAAACTACACTTGACTCCAACCGTCCTTCTGCAGCATGAGGGGGAGTATTACGAACTTGACACCAAACGTAGCTACACATATACTAGATAATATCATGTCACATCTTTGGCCAATAGAAAGACTTGCGCAACTTCTCAGTTACATGACAATGTCCTATATGCCCACCTAGAATAGGAGAATCATGGTAGGCATGGAGAAA